GGAACCCTAACCCTAACCCTAACCCTAACCCTAACCCTAACCCTAACCCTAACCCTAACCCTAACCCTAACCCTAACCCTAACCCTAACCCTAACCCTAACCCTAACCCTAACCCTAGGCTACTATATAGTAACGACCCGACGCGGAGTACTCTAGATAAGGTAGCGGATATACTAGAGGTAAGATACCTTACTCTCTAGAAACCCGACTCCTTACTAGATAATAGGCTCGATATAGATTAATAGCCTCTTCCGGCCTTTACTTTAAAGAAGATATATCGAGCTATTAATAGACAAGATATATCTAAAGTATATAGAGCCGATAGTATCTATATCCGAGCTCTAAAAGCGCTATAGAAGACGTCGTTTATAGCGCTCTTAACTATCCTATATAATACCTATCTCTTCTATTAGCGAATACTTAAAGCTTAGAATTTAACCGATATAACCCTAATTATAAAGGACCCTAACGAGACTAAAACAATCTAGAACGTATGCCCTATTATAGTAATATATATCTTCCGGAAGATCTTCGAGAGTTATATCTTAGAGCGCTTAACTATACTTCTAGGTCTCTACCTCTACTCGATATAGGCAGGATTTCGAGCTAACTACTCGACGTTAACTCTAGCTATACTTATCTATACTATACTATAGTAAGAGTTATATACTAGTATAGTATTTCTCGACTTTACTATAGTATTTAATATAGTCGACTATTACCTTCTCTATAAGGCCTTATATAAATAGAGGTATTCGGAGGACTTAATATACTTACTCGATATATTATAATAGAATACCTACTCGCGAGTATTAGCGAACGGAGGCGTATCCTAGTAGTTCCTATATACGAGAGATATCCTATAGGGATTACTACTATTACTTTTTCTATAGAACGTTCTTATTAACGACCTACTCTAGAACCTAAATATAGATATAATATATCTGCCTAGTAGAGTCTTCTATATAGATAATAGAGCGCTACTATATAGCGACTAGATAGATATCCCGATTATACTAGGCAAGGTCGAAGTATAGTATATATAGAATAGAATCTAAGTTAATATCTCTAAATACGGCTATATCTCGAGTACTACTATAACCTAGCTAGTTAATTAGTATAAGTAGATAATCCTATATATATCTAAGTATCGATATCTAGGCTTTCTAATAATACTATATAGTATTAATTTCGAAGTACTCCTCGCCTTATAACTAGATCGCGCGACTGCCCGAGTAGAATTTATAGTGAGATACTCTAGAACCTAGAGGGTTACGAACTAACTATAAGTATTCTACAAATATCTCGCGCCGATTCTAGAGTATAGAGTACTACTAATATAGGCTTAGGCAGTCTTAGATACTTTATAGTAGAAGGGAGCTAGAGCGAAGTAGAAGGAGCTAATATAGTAGATAGTAGGTAGTAAATATAGCTAGTAACTAGCGTAGAATCTCCTCGGCCTCTCTATACTTAAGTACTAATTTAAAATACTATATATAACTTTTTTGTTTAATCTATAGTATACCGATCCTGCTAATTCTCTCTATTAGCTACTCTTTCGCCCGGCGCTAGGTAGTAGTAGATTCCGAAGGGGCTTATAAGAGAGCAAATTACTTGCTTTATAGAAAGCTAAGACCGAAGTAAATATACTAGATAGAATCTCTCTATACTGCTTCTAGTAGAAATACCTTACTACTAGACTAGTACGCTATACTCGATAGACTCTATTAGCCTCCTATATACTATAGGAAAGCCGGATTAGGAAAGGTATAGCTAATATAGACTATATACTATAGGTACTAGTCTATATATAGAATATATTCTTCTAGTATCGATAAGGAGTCTAGTATTTCTACTTAAGCTATAAGTATACTACTATATCTTATCCTTTCCGCTAGAGGGACGAAGAATATAGATACTATAGTTTAGTTCGCTAGCTATCTTAGTAGGACCGAGCTCGTAAATAGATATAGTAAAAGATACTCGGTATTTAAGGCTTATTTATAGATATAGACTTCTTATTAAACGATAAGTAGTAAGGTCGTACTTATAACGTACTTCGATATATATAGGCTAATCTAGCTATAGTCTAGAGTAATAAGTATATAGATAGTAATATTTCCGACAAGTAATTAGCTATAGTTCCTATTCCTATATTCGCTCTTAATCTCTACTTCTAAGCTTAGTCTAAGAAGACTATAAACTAGACCCTTCGCTATAATATATATACTTATCGGCCTCTTCTTATTATAAGACTACTAGCTACGAAGCCTTATATCTACTATAGTTATAGACTCTCTACTACGATATATATACTTATCGGCCTTCTCTCGTTATAAGACTATTAGCTATAAAGCCTTATATCTACTATAGTTATAGACTCTCTACTATAATATATATACTCGTCGGCCTCCTCTCGTTATAAGACTAACTACTACGAAGCCTTATATCTACTATAGCTACTATACTATAAAGTATCTAGCTCGGCTATAAAGCCTAAATCTACTACTCTTAATACGAGTTACTACTACGAAGTATTATATTAATATATATCTCTAAGACTAGCTACGAAGCCTTATATCTATATTTTAAAAATAAGGCTAAACCTTATATCTATAGCCGGAAGGATATACTAAATATATCGAATTTACTAAATAGTAAACTCGACTATCTACTACTACGAAGTAATATATCTATATAGTATAATATAGAATAGTAACTCTATATATATATCTAGCGAAGACTCTAAGAGGCCTATAGCGAGAGTATAATATAACTCCCCTCTAGTAGACCTTAAGTCCTCTAGTATAGTAAATAGCTATAAAAATATATAAAACTCTATAATCTCTTAAAGAAGTTTAATATAGCGACTATAAGTATATTATAATAGTAGATAGAGAACCTAGTAATTCTATAGAGTAGTAGTAGGTAAATATACTCTTATAAAGACTAAGGCTATATAGTAACTCTAGATCTCTTAGGCGGACTTATAAGGATATATCTCTAAGAGCTATATTCTAGATAAGGGATAATATATACTCGAGTATAAGCTGTCTACCGACCGGTATATATATTAGAGTTAGGAAGGTCTACTAGAGACGAGCGGGATATTCGAGGAGGTTAGGTAGTATTTCGATATATCCTAAATAGCCCTATAATAACCCGTTACTCTCTTTTAGGCAGGTCGTAAATTCCTTTATTATAGGAACGAGATAAGCCTCGCTTGTTACTAATATAGAAACCCTAACCCTAGATAATGTCGATAGGCGTAGAGAGGCAAGTTTTCGAACCTAATACCTAATATATGTCTTATTTATTGCTAGGTTGCGTAAGATCATAGGAGGAAGTGACGGATTCCATAAAGCACTTAATTCACTTCTATGTCAGTAGATTACCGCTGCCGGCTGTAGCGCTTGCGATACCGGCAGTCACTCTCGCGTAGACTGTTCTGTAGGCTACTGTACGGTTAACACTGAAGAAGGATGCCGAATGGACTTCTGGACGACGGAGGTTGGTAATGCCTACGGTATCTACACCAACGTTCTCCTTCTCGTCATCTCCCGCTCCCACAAACCCTCTGCCACAAGCTCATTCGATTGTGAATCATTATTCACAGCGTGGAAGCTAAGTTCATCAGTGGGGAACGTAGCTGATAGCAGGAATGACGCACCAACATCAGCTCCCTGCTCCATGGCATCGACATGCGCTCACCGCATTGTGAGGCCTCAGTTAGACCCAAAGGTCTGCTTGTCATCTTAGCCAGGATGTTTATCGCTGCGCCTTGACACTTGCATGCTTCGTAGTGACAGTATGGCCGGCGAACGGTGCAGTCTACTTCACCATGCAATGTGCGAATGGTACTGACAATGGGGGCTGGCTCCGAGCCTGGCTCTTCAGTCTTGGGACCGCTGTCTCATGTCCTGCGAGCGAGATGTGGTGGGATCGCTACAGGGTCCAGTGTCGTCTACTAGAGAATGCTGCAGAAGATGATGTTCAGAAAATCGGCGAGAGTGCGAGCATGACTCTACTGCATGTGATGTTGCGTGACTAAGGCGTGGGTTTGTAGACACGACGGCGAACATGCGTGAGAACTAGGTGGAGCACCGGAGGTCGATCAGAGCGCAATTTCGGGTGAGAAGATGGTGGCTTACTAGTGCGTACAATTGGCGTCAAAGTTGGTTGCACCATTGTTGTCAACAACGCCTATCTATTCTTCTCAAGGATCCTAGGTCTCCGAGCTGCCAGGGACTGTCACAGATACCTCTATCACATACGTGTAAATGCTTCGCGATATCGAAATGGTACACAGTCTCTGCAGTGCGCCCTCAGTCTTCGATGCTCGCTGACCGGGAGTAATGCTATATCCTTGGCAGATGGAACTTGTCCGAGAACTCGGCACCCCCTCGCTGTCTATCATTGACCGTGAGAAGTTGGGGCCGCCGGCGGCGAAGTAGAAGGTCTGTTTGTGGCAAGGCCGACTGTCGGTGGACAAAATAGCCAGTGTGCTAGAAGCTTGACGTCACCGGACCAGAGGAAGGGTTGAGCTCCAGCCCGGGAACCACAGGCTGTCCGACCAAATTGAAATACAGAGGATGCTGGGTGGGGACCGCGTGGCTGCTGATCGGCATCTGTAGTGGCACGCGCGGTGTGAGTTCAGGCGCAGACTGCACCCGGGAGAGGTAAAGCGGTCTGGTGTGCTGGCGGTACGCCTGGGCTTCTTCGGCCGACAGCAGCAAAGGGCCTCCAGGAGAAGTGCATGGTGGCAGCGGAAGTTCATACATGGCAGGAGTATTCGGCGAAGACGCATAAGCACAGGGTAAGAAAGGTTCATCTGTCCCTCGCCAGCTGTACGGTAGAGACAGCGCCTGCCAATGGCCATACTGCTCACTCGGCTCGTTTGGATGCACTGTCGCAGTCGCATGCTGGGTGTGCAGCTCTATATTGTCATGCTCGCTGCTCTGCTGATACGGTCCCTTGATGCAGTCTGACAGAACCTGAGCGGTGTCTAGAACCTGAGCGGTGTCAGGCGTTTGAGCGGCGTCGAACATGTGAGCGGTTTCCAGAATCTGAGCGCTGTCGAGCGTGTGAGCGGTGTCGAGCGTGTAAGCGGCGTCGGGTGTGTGAGCGGCGTCGGGCGTGTAAGCGGCATGCAGGCTGTGAGCGGCGTGGGACGTGTCAGCGGCGTTGGGCGTGTAAGCGGCGTCGAACATGTGAGCGGTGTTGTTTGTCTGAGCGGTGTTGTTTGTCTGAGTGGTGTCGAGTAGCATTGCGCAGGAATCCTTCCGGTCCATGGCCGGCAGCGCGCCGGTCGGTGGCAGCCCGTTTACTTCGCGACTGCCATGACAAGGTGACTCCCAAATAGGACAGAGCGGATCAAGCCAGAGAGACGGGCTCAGCAATGGCGTGAACACGTTGACAGAACCCGTCGTTTGGGATGCCGAGGGCTGGTCAGAGGGCTTGGCAGTGATTGAGCTGCTTCCGTTTGCTGCTACGGACGGGATGGTCGAGGGGCCATCATGGCGCTGCTCGATGGCTGGGTATGGTGTGTTGTACGTGAACGGAATCTCAAGAATAGGGTAAGCGGAGCTGCTACTGAAGCTTTGCGAGACGCTGCACTGGACACTACTCGGTCCAGATGCAGACTGCGTCCGTGCAGCAAGTTGAGTGTGCTCGCTGCCACCGAACGGTACGCTAGGCTGGCACGGACCTTCCGTCTTCGTGGCTGTCAATGGATCATTCGTGACACTTGGAACATGCTGTGAAATCCAGGCCTTGAGACTGTCGACAAGGGCAGGGAGGTATTCGGGAAACTCGGTGCCGGCCGCATGATCGTTCACAAGGCTCTGTACGACAACGTTCTCCAGCTCTTCGGTCAAGGTGATTTCGTGTGCCGTGCAAAGGCGTCCAACTGAACGAAGGAGATCTTGGAGAACATTGGCGTCCTTCGTGGAGACGGCACTGATTGCTCTTGGCTTGCAGGTGCGCTCCATACTGGCTTCACGTCGACGCTTTGCAGTGTCCTTGCCGCTCACGCTCTCTTCACTCGCTGCTGGTGAATGCTTCGCAGCTTCTTTGCTGGCCTTTCGCTTAGTCATGGTACCGGACAAGCTGCTTATGGGAAAGTCCAAGGGGCCTTGCTGCGAGTGGCAGGAGATAGGATTGCTTCCCGGTGTTGCTGGGCCAAATGGAAATGTAATGCTGCAAAGACAGAGATGAAGGCGTGCAAGAAGAAGTTGAGAAAACGAGAGAGAGAAAAAAGGTAGCGGTTGCGATGCTGCGAGCGGATGCCAGAGACGAAGGGGATTAGACTCGCACATACAAGTTCCTCCCTCTCGGTTAGCATTCGTCTCATACTACCAGACTCAAAGACGTGGCGTTATGATCTATCACTTCTGTGCCCGCCATTACCTGTATCTGCAAGCCGGCCTGCAGTGTGCATGATACCGATGCAGGCGCGGACAAGTCGTTGAGAAATGATGTGTCGCATCAAGCTCGTTTGCCGCATGCTGATCATTCGCGCCAACACCCCGTGGAGAATGCCAGAGACGCCGAATGCGAAGCTGCTTGGTCGCAGCAGTGCATGATGGCTGTTATCTGGACAAAGGTTGCTGGGTTAGACGGATGCGGGTTGCCGCCATGCGGGAGATGGCAATATCAGCTGGGAGGTGGCAACGCGGTAGAAACCCGGTAAAGGTGCCGGGCGAGCTACTGTATGCCAAGGCGAAAACGCTTGGCTTCGTATGCGCGACAGCATGAAAGCGGAAGCGGACCCTTGCACACACACGGCATACAGCTGCAGCAGGTACATATACAATGGAGGGGGGGTGAGTGTTTGTGCCTTCGTGGATTCTCCTATCCTATACCATGCGATCTACCGCCCCAAGTCACTTCGCAGCGTTGTCGTTTCGTCCGCAAAGCCCCACAACCCGAGCGCCCCGAACCTGGGGCGGGGCGGCCGGCTGATGTTTCCGCGGCAACAAGCCCAGACAACACACACCCTATCTATTCCGTGGGTTCGATAATCAATAATGAACAGTTGAAGCTGCAGCACAACACACGACGATCCTCCGCCTTACGCTCTATGAAGCGTAAAGCATTGGCCCATGACAATCCAATCGCCGACTGGCTGTGGAGCGTCATCGAGGTCGCAGCGCCTCCTCAACCCGGTTTTGGCAGCAAGGAGTCAACGAGCGTGCAAACGGACGACGATATCGCCTCGACTTCCCGCAAGCGCGCGAGGTTGGCACTGCATGATAGCGTCATGGCGGACGACACGCCGGGTGACGCAGTAATCCAGCATGACGTGGATGAAACACCAAGAGCAGGAGCGCGGACTGCGCCGCACATCCCCATACCCATGCGAGTGTCCGAAGGGCGAGCGCCGTCTGTCTGTTCATCCTCCGCTGCCACTTCGAGCATATTGGGTGACGACGTACCGATTGTCGGTACGCCTACCAGCAGTCTGAAGCGCAAGCGCAACGCAAGTCCGACCAAGCAAGTGGCCGCCCTACGGACAGCGGACTGGCCGCTCCAACACCGCTCTCTACCAGGTCGTATCGAAGCCTCGTCTTCAGCAGTGCAAAAGCTTGTAAGGACTTTCCGAAACATTGCGCAAGCAAATGGGATTGTCACGGAAGGTCAGCCATACCAAGATTTGGCACAACACACGGACGAGGTCACAGGCGGCCCTCACCTCGTTTCTTCAGAGAGGGCGGCTCTTGGCCGTTGTCCCACTGAGAGTGACGTTGCTGACTTGGTGGAACACACGGAGTCCAATCTGCGACTCCAGGTAAGCGAGCCACAATGGAACTGTAGCGTACACAGTCGGTTACTCGATCTGTCTTGGCGCTTGTCACACGACAAGTCGAGGACGGCTTGGCAAAACATCTCCACGGTAGCCATTACCCCGGCGTCACTTCTGCCACAACTGCCTGGGAAGGAGCGCGAGGCTTTCACGAAGAAAGCGGACTTCTGTTTCACAGTCCAGTTCGACGACGACGCTGTTCTTTACCAACGCCTTGCCCAGATCGGTGTGTACTCGCTCAGCCAGACCGATTACCCTGCCCTACAATGGGCTCCTCCAGCCGTCAGCTTCGAGACGAAACGATCTGGCGAGAGTTTGAGCGAGGCTATACTACAACTGGATATATGGGCTTTGGCGCAGGTGAAGAAGCTGACCGAGCTGCTATCTCTAGCTGGGAGACCGTCTACACCGATACCTGCGTTGCCGCTAGTGATCATCCAGGGCGAAGACTGGACGGTGCGGTTCTTGGAGATCAACGTGGAACAGAAGCAGGCGACGCTGTGGAGCAAGATCACATTCGCAGACACCACGGAACATCGCGGAGTGTATCAGGCGGTCACTGGCTTGCAGGCGTTGCTGAAATGGGCCGCCGAAGAGTACAGGGCGTGGTTCGTGGAGAACATCATTCGGCCGCTGAGTCAACGAGTCCGCGACGGTTAGTAAGCGGACGTCAACACTTCGATCTGACGTTGTCTCCTATGGAAGTACACACGATGGCAACCTAGAGCTGAAGGGAGACAAATGCAACATGCGATTGTCTGCTCAACCGCCTCATGGCACTCTGCGAGTATCTTGCCACGATCTACACGGCCATGATACTCTGCCTTTCGGTCTTTCGGTCCTGGCCCGAGCTGAACAGCTCTACTTGTCCATGGCGCTGCGTGCTAAGTGCCGGCAGGTACCAACTAGCGGCAAAATCACCTCTGTGCGTGGCCCAAGCAGTGCTGGATCTGCGCCGTCGTCGGACAAGCAATATTCAAGCTTGCAGTGTAAAACGCGAAGCCGTCGGTGCACATGCCGATCTTGTCACTGGCGCTCTCCGTCTACGCTGACGGCGCGTGAAACACCAGCAATGAACATAAATGAAAGTCCGAGGTTGGGAGGCGTGTGAATTGAGCTGGGTTGGTTTGGGAGATAGCGACTTATGCTGTACGTGATGAGCGGAGCACGGGGAAGCGGCCGAGGGATGGGACATGTGAAGTGGATGTGGCGAAGGCGCTGGAGGAGATGATGGAGATGGTGGAGCTGGCGGAGCTGACGAAGATATTGGAGATATTGGAGACGTTGCAGACGTTGGAGGGATTGGAGGCAGTGAAGGAGAAGGTGAAGAAGACATTGAAGATGGCGGAGATAGTGGGTGTTCAAAGGTCGGAGGCTTTGGAAATCGTGGCGGTAGAGGTTCTGGAATGTTGGACTTGTTGCCTACATCGCTGAATGAGATTTGTTCACTCGCTTTGTCCCATGCCCGAGGATGTTTCACTACCCTTGCGGTGTTGGTTGGTTGGTATGGGCGGAAACTATCCGCACATACAGTACATCGGAGTCCGACGGAAACCATCCGCACTGACAACCAAAACCATGCGCCGTTCTGATGGAAACCTATTCGCTCAACACTCTGAGCACAATCTCATACAAACACACATCGAACGAGGTAGCCTCTTAGCTCTGCATACGAGACACATCACAGAACCGCACTGACAGAGATCGACTGGCTGCGTGGTTTAAGTCACTTTTGTGCGTGCCAGCAGATCTTGAGGTTGATCGCCTGCTTCATATCTCGTGCCTCGAGTACTGTTGGTACGTGTGTGCTGGGCCATCAAAGAGAGCACGCGTTATCGCATGAGCTTAGCGCTCGCTACGTGCTCTATATCGACGGTTAGTATGGCTACCACCTTCCGAAGCTGTAAGACCGCAGGAGCTTGCACCAAGATCGCCACGTGGACATCAGCACGATCACCCAAACAAGCTTTGAGTGTCGAGGTACAACTTTCGGACACCAGGAGCAGGAGTCTCCCGATGCTCGTTGCGGGCAGCAACGGAGGTGCAGACCTGCTTGCTCGGCTGTCAACCTTGAATACAGGCTGATGGTCCCTCTGTATGTGAGCACGACTTCCTGTGGTCCGCGGTTCGCGTACGTGTTGTCCTCTGCTGCCGCTCCGATGTGAAGCAGATAGGGGCGCGTGGCGAGTGTGGACGCCTTCTGCTTCTTCATCTTCGCCGTGAGCAGTTTGCATTTTGTACTCCCTCCCGAGGGTGCTGCGGCTGTTGAGGCAAGTCGTTGGCATGTCCGCCGTATGGTGCGAACAGGCTTTAGCGCATCGCAACACGTCCCACCCACATTGGCTTCAGAGTGGCTCCACTTGAACAACTCCCGCAGTTGCCTCACTGATGCTGACCTCCTCCGCCATACTTCTCGTCTCTCTTACTGCCCGGCTCTCGCCTATACGCAGCTCCGCAAGCATTTCATTACGCTCTGCTTCTGCTCCTTCTCTGCGTCGATGGCCTCTTACGGCTCCAGTAGCCTTTGGACAGCCGGCGCGCCCTTCTCAGGTGCGGCTAAGGACTTTATGCGTACGCTTTACTCGTGAGTCGGCTGTGCGCAGTTTGCGCGCTTGCACAAGGCTTGATTGTCCAACAACAATCGGCTGGCCCTTGTCGGCAGAGAAGGGGTGGTCCACATTGCCCACGGTAAGGATAGCTCACAGGGGTGGCAGAGTATAGCTATCTGGGTCACCATCGGGCCTGAACAGTGGCGCGATGGTGCAATTGCTGGGATGGTGCCGATAGTTATCAACAAGGCTGCATGCTGTCTTCCATTGGACGACTTGGGCCCCCCTGCCTGCAGCGCGTCTTTAGATCTGCATGTTCTGCAGTCATGTAAGAGGCTGAACGGTGTAGACAGGCTTTTGGACAGTCATCTTGAGAGTATGGTAGCTCCTCTGGTCTTGGTGTGGAATAATCGTATAAAACATTTCAGCCGATCTTCGTGGATATACATTCGTTATTAGATATAGACTGGCCGTTGAAGTTCTGACCATGGGCCGTCCGTCACCCTTGGAAGAGTTGCGAATTTGATGCTAACAAGTGGGTACATATCCATCCCCTCCTCAAATCAAGAACGCAGTGGTGCCAGGCTGATGTTACACTCTTAGTACTTACTGCTGTCTAATTCCGACTGGTCGACACCTCTGCGACGCACCGTTGTGGAGCCTCAAGTCATCCTCGGCTCCTCACGCCTGCGTCGGCATGGAGCTTTCACTGGATTCACTGCTGACAGCGTATCTCTGCACTGGAGTGGTCAAACCCAACCCGCGACCGGCGCACAAGCGTAAACGAACATTCAGGTGAGTGTAGGCCCCAGCAGAGATGTAGGGTGCCGTATGGGGGATATGTTGGACGAGGTGGAAAGCTGTCAAGGTCTCCATGCTTAGCCTATAGTTGTTGCAGCATAGTGTAGCCCGAGACGGTGCAGTGATCGAGCCTAGCGGTATGAATGGTTATGAGCAGTGAATGTGGAACACGTAGCGGTATTCACTTGACACATGTCTCCAGGACAATCCTTTGTGCTGCACTGAGAGTGGAACGGTAGGCGCCGGAGTGTCGGCGGTGTTGAGTTGGACGTGTTTCCGGTCTACCATGGCTGTATCAAGTCCTTGCATCGCGCTGTTCTCTTGCCGGCCGACTTAGCTTGGAGCAGCATATGCGGAAAGTCGTCTTTGCGTTCAGTATCGAGATGTCGCTGAGCTCGAATGGCACGGCCCGATAACGGGTGGCGCGAGACAGTATAGACTCGAACACCACTCTCAGGTAGTTGGGCGTATGGAACGCTGTATCGGTGGCAGCCGCGATGCAGCTTAGCTGCGAGTTCACCGTTCAGCATTCGCCGTGGCGCAATGCACAAGGCAGCAGATCCGCCAAGCGCACCACCGGCCAAACGTAGTAATGGGACAGGCTGGTCGAGGATGATGTGCAATGTTCATGCGTTGCTTCGCGGCTGCGACACGCAGCCTGATCTTGGAACGGACCTGCAGTTTGAGACTTCGGTAAGGTGGAATGTTCGCAGATCAAGTGCGTGACTGCACATCAGCTCCTGTATACGGGCTAGGCAACTTTTATTCGGCGTCGCAGTCACGACGGCAGCGAACGCCGATTGCAGGACTCTTAGCGATTATGCCGCATTCTTCAGTCTCTTCGCATACTTCTGACTATTAGCAAGAGAAATGAACCGTGCAAGGAAGGGAAACTCAAACATTGGCTCGCATCCATGCTTACAGCCGACGATCTCGCGGCATTTCGATGCTAGCAGTCACTTGAGATCGTCGGGCTTCATAGCGAATACGGAGAAGGGCGTCGGCAGCATAGTGCTCGTCTGTCGTAGCGACGCTTCTTTCTCGTCCACTCGGGGAAATCAAAGGGTTCCTTAGCCATCGAGAGGCACATCACTGCCTGTTTGGCGCTCTGAACGGCAACACCAACTTCAGAGGCGTCAAGGTGGACTGGTGGGCGCGGTCCAGCAACTTCTCGCGAGCTCATCAACTCGATTGACTTCGCCGCGTAAAGGTGCGTTCTAAGGACAAGATCGAGCCTAGGGATGGCAGATTCTAGCCATGACAAGCGGTTGAATGCCAGAGTCGGGTCGTAAGGTCGAAGTCAAGGCACGGGGTCGTCAACACTCGGTTTACAATTTTTTGCCAGTGTCTCTTCCGGTTCTCCACCATTCCATAGTAATCTGCCCTGGTCACATGCTGCTAGGTGCCCGTACTATAGAACATCGAATGCCCATGGGTACGAGCGCAAGGTAGCTAGGCTTGCATGCCGCGGAGTTCGACTATGCTTGTGTAGCGCGATAGAGCAGCAGTATCCTATGAGGTGTGATGGTGTTTGCGTGTCCACGCCACCACGCAGCCGCTTAACCGTCGTCGTCATTTGCATCGTCGTCATCCTCGTCATCCTCAGCCACGTCTCATCATGCTCAACTCATTGTCCTTTTCCTACTGTCCTCATCATCACTATCCTCGGCGTAGATGTCTGGAGGAATCCGGTGACTGGGTCTTATGCTTGTGGAAGACGACCTGCCGCCTCCTCGGTTGGAAGGGCTGCTGGTCAGAAGCAGGTAGGTGCTCTGCAGATGAGAATGTCATCGGGTGTGTAAATGATGGAGTCGGGCAAGTCCTCAGACTTCGTAGCGTTGTACGGCAGAATTCTAGTATTTACTTCCTCTGTACCGTCATCGCTCTCAGCTTCGGCTGGGGGTCCGGCTGTCATTCTTCGCCTCGTTGGCGACATGGGCGCCAGCACGAGCGAGGTCGATAGTGAGAGCCGCAACAAGGCCCGGTCGGACCGCCGCCAGCTCTGATAACGTCCTAGTCGTCAAGAGGCGATGCTTCACTGTCGCAGGTACCAGCAAACATCAACGAGCGTGCAGCGCACTTCCTAGCGCGTGTTGAGCGCATCGTCCGCGATTACACTTTCGCGATAGGCGAATTGCAAGACCTCGTGTTCGATGCCGGTCGTTATTCTCGAAGGAGCGGGCCTCCAACGCGAGGTCACTCAATGTAGACTGTACAGACCCGTCGACCTCTTTCACCCAAGCAGGAACTTCGCCCCCGAAGCGACCCATATCGAGACACTGTATGTTCCGACCTATGCACGGTCTGATGTGCTCTTGGTTGCACGTACAGGGAAGCCTAGAGTCTAGTACTCCAAGCCTTCGGCTTCCTGACAGGACAGACTACTATTCAGCTTGTGCCTTCCAAACTGCCAAGGCGGTGAGCAGTCAGAGAACATCCGCACGTTGAACGAAGAATTATCACGCTCCGTCACTGATACCGCTGGGAGGGAGAACGAGAAGCCAGAGCTCTATGAGCGCATCAGAAACGAACGGTACCAGCACCTCATCGCTCCACCGGAGCAAGCTGCGCATCCTAGCTTCCGTAAGTTCTCCGCACGCCGGAGTCTCGCAATGCGCAACATCGTCGGTGATGATGTCGCTGATGAATTGCACCTTGTCGGCGAGCCGTCATTGTTCCGCCCAGGGCATGCCCAGATCTTGGAGCTTCAGGAGCTGGTTCGGCAAGACACGAATTGGCTCGCCGAATCAGTGACCGTGTTTCAAGTAACACAGAGGAAGGCGTTACAGAAGGGCGGCTTCCGCGACGTAAGCAAAAGTCGATAACAGACCCCAGATCATCACCCGCGGAAGCGTTGACCGTAGGGTTCGGACGTACATTCTCACGCCAATCTCGCGGAACCATCTCGGTAACTGGGCTGCGTTGTACTGCGTTGTGACAGACGGTGTTGGTCCAAGCCAAACAGCAACGCCGCGCCTGCTTTGCCAAGACTGTGCTTCGTGGACGGCGCCGTGGCGACGTCTTCAGCTTCGTCGAGCCTGCTCCGCCGGCAATGGCTTGTCGATCTCCAGCGCTAGACGCGAGGATCTGCGGCATCGCTACGTCTTCCCAGCCCCAAGCGGCAGTTGAAGTCGGGGTAGCTGCATGCAATGTGGTGCAGATGTATTCTAGTTGTGTCTCTTCCCATGATCAGGAATGTGCGGTACAGAGATTCCAGCGACCCGCAGGCTGCAGACCGACGTTATGATCATGGTCGCTACGACAGCCTTGTGTACTGGCGCTGACGTTTGTGGCAGTGGTCCGGTGGGGTGATGGAAGCCGCCTATCACCGACAATTTTGGAAACCCTTGTGCAGCGCCTTGGATAGGCAGGCTAGGTAGGCGACGGCAGAGCGGTGGCGTATGTGTTTATGCGATGGGACATCGATGGCAGCGCAAGGGAAGGACAGCGTGGTGCGGATTCGCAATCATAATCACAGTCGCCGTCGCAGTCGCAGTGGCAGTGGCAGTGGCAGTCGCAGCCGCAGCAAATACATCCACCGTGCCGGCCGCACTCATTGTGCCATGTTGAGCTTCCCGGAGATGGCGACGGTGGTGCAAGGGAGAAGCACGCCCAGCGCGGTGACCATGAAGTGGAAGCCAGCGATGACGGTGGCTATGGCCTCGTCTCACATATCATCGTCTGCGCAACCAACCAAGATGCCTTTTCACCCTTTAAACTTCAGGTGGACTCCGAGCTTCTTACCGAACACAATTCGGGGCGACAACACGATGACGGTAAAGCCCATGTTGCGCTCTGCATTTGAGTAAGCAGAACATCTTCCTCGCCATCTTAGAGTCTTCCGCCCTCCTTCTCCCTCAACTATTACTCACACCCTGTTACAACGATGCACACCTATCGGTCCCTCCGTTACATCTACGACGATGGTATGACATTCTTGCTAAGTGTGCTCGAACTGGGGCTGGTTGTAAGAACAAAGATGTCCTGGCGCAAATACAGCGCTTGCCTAACGATCCGGAACGGCGGAGACCGAACATACAATCTCTTCAGGCAGTTTTAAGAGCATCTCAGCGTTCCACGCAATACTCGTGCGACTCTTGCGTCAAGGTTCTAGGGTATGGGTGTAGCGAGGCATGCTAATCGCTTCCACCTCTTCTGTTGACAGTCTAGGCAATGATCTGGCGTATCCAGCTGGCGCATGCCAGAGCAACACGTTCAAGCTGCAGATGATGGAGTCTCCGCAGCGCCCTCGGATCCTGTCCTCTGCACCATCGAGAAGACGCAAAGCAGGCCCGCCATCCGTGTACCGTCCGTACCAACAGCTCAGTGCCAATGCTAAAGCTGAGGGCCAAGGCAACAAAGGGAGTAATGGCCAGCAGCGGACCCACCATGGTGTTGTGCAGACGTGTGGCCCTTCCATGCTCAGACGTACCTTCTTCAGAGCCTCCCGCAGCGCTTCACTTCCATGTCGCCTCTCGAAGCTCTTTGGACCTACAAATGGTCGAAATTGCCGCTGTCAGTCGGCACGCAAATCTCTCAAGAGCAGGACTGTTCACGGCGATATCTGCAGTAACCTTCTTCCGCCATCCGCTAACGCCACATGTGCGTACCCCTATCAAAACTGGGTTGAATGCCAAGGGCTGGGTACTCCGCACAAACGCTGCTGTCCACATTTGGCACTATCTTCGGTAAGATCGCATTCATCCCGGCTGGCGGTGGCGATGGCGATGGCGCGCGGCTGCTCGCGAATCGCACGGCAACGTCACAGAGGTCTTCCGACAAGTCTAAAACGACTGAAGGCTGCGTGCTGATACGTGTCGTTGTCATCGCTCTGTATTGGAAGACTACCTCGGAAAGGACGACTAAATATACCACCAGAACCCTGCGGCCCAGAAACGGTTGTTGCAGCTTCCACAATCCAGAGCTCGTTGGTAGAAAGACAGACTTTGAATGATGTCCTCTGCGTGTCAAGCCTACTACGACGCCGGTTGCTGCAATACGATCGGCTTGCGCCTTGCCGCTGTTGCAGACATAACTCGAAGTTAGGCGGAATAGATGTTCCCGTCAAGGCGCATGTTTCCACGTTCTACTGACCTTCTTCATTCACAAGCAGATTCTGTAACTCAATAGCGTGCAAATCGAGCCAGTAAGTGGAGGGATCTACCGCGGAGCAGCTTTCCATGGAGGTGCCTCTACTGCAGCAACGGCCGAAGAAAGATGCCCACACTGTCGAATTACTTACAAAACTGTACCAAGTCTTACAACGGTCTGTGCTGCGTGGAAGGCTGCAAGGAGAGCGAACAAGGAGAGGTTGGCCAATAAGAAAGCTGCGGAAGACGCTGCTCGAGCACAAGCATTGTCGCAGGATCCTCGTCCCATCAAACTCAAGCGCAGCGTCATAATGCTATCATCGCATTGGTTACCCGAGCTGCTCGCGATGTTACAAACGCTCATCATGGTACAGTTGCGCAATGTCCTTGAGCCAGAGTCGGAGCGCCCGGCCTCTGCAACACGGCGTGCTGCCTGCACACCACTAGGCACGCCAGGAAGGAGAGAGCGTCGGCATAGTGATAATGTGTGGCCCATACCACACGGTCGAAATAATCCTAATGAGGAGTTTGCAGAGGTTAGGATCATACCCACCTAATGCTTATCCACGCGGTCGTCCACGCGGTCCTGCGGGCTGCGTTCGATGTCGGCTGCGGCTAGTCGCGAGACCAGTTATGCGAGACAGCGGCGCGAAGGCGGCTGTAATGGTGACACGACGGAGAGGTTGCTTTTCGATGGAGCTAAGGGAGTTTCCCAAGGAAGAAGTTGGGAAGTGCACGAGATCAAGGTTTCCCTCGTCCTGCATCGTCTCCGCCAACTTTAACGTCGATATTGGACGAGAAGTATCAATCCTTTGAGCCATTCGCAGAGGGACAGTAGAAGAGTGAGAAAAGTGGAGAGTAGTATACTATTGGGACATCAACCATCCATGGAGGCGGCATCAGAGGGCCTCAGATATGTTCGAACCAACACCGCCGCTTCAAGAACAATGTACTGCGCCAACTACGCTGTCGACTCCGCCTGCGCCAGCTACTCCGAATGCGCGTACCGCGCTGCTTCGCGCCGTCATGTCCCTGGTCTCTTTCGAGCTTACAAACACGCTTGCGCCGAACAGCGCAGCGACCGCGGTAATCATCGTTCTCCTTATCGTCGTTTTCATCATTATTGTTATCTTCGTCCTCCTCCTTCGGCAACACTGCACCGCAGTCCGCATTCGGCACAATGCAGTAGCATACTCAACGGGCGGCTCTGCTAGTAGTCCTCCAATCCTCTCTACCCTCCCAGCTGAAGGCCAGGGATGCATACCCAAAAAGCCGTTCATTGTACACAGGACCACTAACCTTGCGGCTGGCCTCCGCTGCCGCAAAGACTCTTGCTGTTGTCGTCACTGCTCTTGCTCCTGCTTCCGGCCAGCTACTATACGACGTAGAGCCTCTGGATTCTCCTGCTCCTCCGAGCTGGGCACATCGAAGATGCTCTGATCGCGCCGCTCACCCATGCGCAAAGTGTGGCCAAAGAGGTGGCAGCAAAAGGGCGTAAACGTTCCGCTGGTGGTGATGATCGTGCTGACGGCATATCCTCTCCTTTGGACAGCGCAGGCAAAGACGAGAGCGCAGGCGAAGACTTAGAGCGCTGGTGGAGGCAATCAAGGCGCAAATGAAGCGCAGCGGATTCCTCCTCAATGTCAATCATGGGTCCGAAATCAACCTCAATATCCGTCATGGTGGCGAGGCGTGGGCGTGGCGGGCGAGTCAAGAAGCCACCCATTCGCAGTGGTGATGGTGCACTGTAGACAGCTCCTAAGTGAGGCCGGCTGATGATGCTGATTCTGATGCCCACAGAACCACAAAAGAAGAAGAAGAGGCTGAACATTGAAGGAGCTCACGCTTGGTGGCAACCTCACGTTCACACTCACTCACCGGCTTTTCCAACAATCCGAGAACTTACATACAGGTACGGTCCGCAGCCCATACTGCAAATGCGACGATGTTGTTGCTAAAAAGAGCGCCACTGTATAATCACCTTCTTTCAGTCGCCGTCACTCGACCTACGTGCGCTCACACGCCAGTCAAGTCCACGCTTCTGACATCCTTTAGCAACTTCTCCAGCAACTTCTTAAAGCTGCTTCTATCTGTCGCTTGCAGAAAACAGACCTCGTCCGCACCCGCATCAACCACAGCCCTCTTCGACCGGACGCGCTCTGCGCGAGTGAAGCGTTCATCCGTATCGGCTCCTTGAAGCACGCTCGCTATCGCTGCAGCAGCGAGGATCTACAAGCGAGCATCCCATTCCCGTGTTAAGCTCACCCACCCTCGACATAAGAGGCTCAATACCCTTCTGCTAGTGTTTGTCGAGAGTCCTCGTCCGCCACGCCGCTCGGTTACAAGGCTAGCACCGTGCAGCTCGTCGCTGATGCTGAAGTACATCGACGCCGGCGTTGTGGGTTGTGTGCACAGCACTCCTACTACGCGGCTAGTACCACACTCGAAGACATTGCGCAACACACAAGCCGGCCCGGGGTCGACGGCCATCTTTCGGAAAGTAGCCTTCAGGTCATGCGAAGAGTTTTCGATTCGAGCGCTATCCTGGGAGCCATTAAGATCATGGACTCTGCATCTCATCAGAAGCGACAGATTTGCCCTTCTTACCAGACGGAATGAGCATACCGGTTGCAAGAATCGCACATTGTAGCGGCGGACATGCTTCGCGCTCAATAGCTGGCGAATTAATACTAATTCGCGGCTATAGTTGGACTGATCAGAGCTAGTAAAGGCGATCAAAGTGATTGACTGCGCGCCGAAGACAACCAGTATTCAGTCTTCCTTACCACGCCATATTACAGGTGTGAAGAGGTCCTCGTGGATGGCTCCCACGATCTCGACGTATGACTCTGCATTGTGGTACTTCACTACGTCTTAGACTGCGCTGATACGAGTTGACTTCAGCGTTGGGCTATCACATCGAGCAAACCGCGGTCAACGAGCTCTTAGACGAATAATGCGCTTATTCTGGCACAACAAATGTGGGTTAATAATCCCAGGATATTGCAAAGCTCCGGCTTCTTGTTGCCAGTGCACTCCTAGCCTTGGAAGGTGATGTCATTGATCAGACAATACGCAAGCTTGTTGACTTCTTTGTTAGAGCTCCAATAGCTGCGGAGCGGCATGAGGGCGTAGTTGACTGTGGTGTGGTAATACGCCGGCGATGCGAGCAACCAGTAACGCTTGTCAAAGTCCAGCTCATTCTCGGTAGCCTCTGCCCTGGAGCCGTGATTGCGCTTAACGCTCGTTTGGTCGCCTACGACAATCCGCAGTCGCCCTTTCAGATTGCTCTCACAGTTCGGCTTGAGAGGTTCTAGCATCACCTTCTGTACGGCGTACGTACCTTTGGTATACAGACCTCAACGTGCGCCGACACCTTTGGCGACAGGATCTCCGCACGCTCCGGCCGTAACGGTTCAACTTTCGGCCACTCAAAGCGTTCTGGTCCTGTCGAGGTGGATGTACCCTCAGCACCGCGAGAGCCTTCTGCGGTCCTCTGCTGATCAAGCTTCCGACGCCGCTGCGCGAAAGATGCCGCCACCCCCGCCGCCGAAAATCTAGCTAGCGGATTGATCGATTAGACACTTCGACATCGCAGCACTGTTCTTGTCTGCGTAGATGTTGTCAATGATGTCCTCTGCGCGCATGGGCACGTTGTACTTCAGCACGTCCTTCGTCGACCCTCCTGACGGTACACCTGGCCTCGGCGCAATGAAGAAGGTCATTATACTGAGTTGCTCGGTGATAGTGCGGACAACTTGATCACGACTCCTCTGCTGGCGGTTGACGTCGTTGTATGCAATCAATGATCGCGGATGCTTCGCCATGGCTACTGCGGCGTCTCTTGGAACTTGGCATTTTGACCAAGCCAAAAGCCGGCACGATACGGTGCCCTGGCGACGATCGCCATGAACATCACACGTCCTGAAGCCGTACAAGCTTGTCGTTCGCATCTATGCGAGCAGTCAGTGTGTCCGTATAAGGCATCTGTCGCCGCTCTTCGTCCAGGTCCGATGAATCTTCGTCGTCATCGTTATTGGTACACTCATTGATAGCACGCTCGTCATCTTCGCTTAGTGCACCTTGCTCGACGTCGGCATCGACATCGACATGAAGACTGCGCTCCGCGGAGCGCCTGATGATATTGACGTTGAGCGCGGGCTGGCGTGCTCGGGTGGCCTGGTGTTTGATCAAGAGTTCCGGGAAGCTCACTTGGCAGATTTGGTTCTCTTCCTGCTTCGGGATGACTATGGCATCGACTTCAGCAACGACGTTTCTGATGGGAACAGAGCGCAGTAGCGAATGAGCAGTCCGGCGGAGTCTCGCTTAACTCCGCGATGATAAGAGTCCAAGCGCACCTCAACCCGCAGTAGGAGAAATCCAGGAGACCACACAGAGAGAGAATGCCGCTGCGGCAGTTCAGGACACCTAGGGGCTGGGCTGAGGATCGATCGCAGACGCACGATAACCTGACTACAGTGCTTTGACTTCGACGGTGACGAAGACACATACTATGAACTTTCGGGTTGACACCTTGTTATCTTGACCGTAGAAACGGTTGCTGCGGGTGGCACCGAATGCACAATGCTCCTAATACCAACTGAAGACAGCACCGCAACCATTGCGCCGACTGCACTCACCGTCACCGCAAAAGACCACTTCATCCATAATCATTTGCAGATCATCCTACCATGCGCCTCCCAGGGGCCCGAGCCCGTGGGCAGTATCAACCATGCTGTGACGGCTAAACTGAAGGGTTGGATGTACGAGCGCCGCAGCCTATCGTTGCTAAGCAGCGCAAAATCATTGACAATGATGTTTCACAGTGCAGAAGGAAGGCGAGGGCATATCACTGCAGCATGACGGCAAGGTAGCCGGGACGATCACAAATTGCCCAGCTTACGGAAGACTGATAGTGAGACGTCCTCTTGACACAGGCTTGCTTCGACTGAAGACTCGTGTCTGGTGGAGGTAGTGCAGTCCGCATGCCAGTGCTCAGTAAGGTGTCCAGTTCTATCGAATCGGCCCGTGAGGGACGTTCGATTGGAAAACTGCATGGAAGCGGACGGCTTGTGGCTCATTGAACATATGTCACGAAGGATGAGAAAGTGCTCGATGTCGTACGGCTCGTCACTGGTTGATGCCTGAGGCAACGACGGTCGGAGGTCCTTAACGTCTGTTGACATTACAATCCGATACAACTGCTCCCGCAGGCATTGTATCGCCACAATCAGAGTATGACTAACTGCAGGCGGGTATCTCGACTGCTACTAAAGCCCTGACGCGCCAGCGTAATACCCAATGGGTTGCCTATAGTCTGGCGCAATGAGCTGGGCCTTCTTTTGCGGGCAAGCTCCATTCTACCGTTGACAGGCACTTGCCTCATATTGACCTAATGGTCTGCTCTCGGAGACGTTCTTCGTACAGATATCGGCGTAGTACTGGACGGTGTCCAGGCGTCAGCAATCGCAATTGAGAAGGAAGAAACACAGGGTTCTGGACATGCCGCCGATACGCCTCGGCACGGACCCGTCTCGACTCGCCTCGCCACTTCAGCACTTCCTTTCTGCCCGGCGAGCGAATATATCTCTCTCTGTCAGTCGAAGCTGCTGGCTGCTGCGCACGATACGGTCCTGCTTTGTGCGGTGCTGCTTTATGCGGTGCTGCATGATTGGTGCTGTACAGCAAGCTGCCGGTGGTCCATGCTGCATCGCGGTTCTGAGTGTGGAACGAGTCTGGCGAGAAGGGCGAGACTGATGGATACATGTATGAATGATTGGACCATCGTACCATTATGACTGAGGCTTGGCGCTCATTCCTGCTCCTGCGTTGGTGTCGCGTGGGCTCGCCCGAACGCGGTCTGTGGAGTTCTTCGGAGATGCAGTACTTTATGGGCGGACTATGAAGCAAGCGTCAAGTGAGAGAGCCTTCATCCAGGAGCAGCAGTAGGCTCTACAACGTTGTCAGGTTTGTGATGCAGCACGAGAAAGACAGATGAACTTCGTAGACTTGCCGTACACCGTCTGTTGAGCATCCTGCTCGTCCAGCCTTACGAAGCTGATCGTACGTACAAAGCGCATTAACCCTTTAGTAGCTCCTGCGTAGCCTCCGTCAACCTGAGAGCCATCTGCCGGTGCGCCTCCTGCCTCTCATGCACAAAAGCTTGAGCTCGCTCCCTCTCAATCCTCATCCGAGCCTCGAGCTGGCCGAGCTGGCGCAAGCGAGGCGCATCTATCGCTCTCGGCATTGAGGCGAGATGCTTGGCTTCGAAACCGAGCTGCAGGTATGCTTGCTTCGCTGCCTTGACTGACTGCTCGGCGTCTTCTTGTAACAGCGGGATGGCGGAAGCGATACACCGCAGGACTAGGTCTGCGCCTTGAACGAAGGATGTGGCGGCTCGGGTTGCGTTGAGGATCGATTTGACGGCGACATCGATGAGATCAATGGGGCGTCCGGATACGGCTCGAACAATCTGGGCGCACTGCGCGCTCTCCCACTCCGCGACCGCTGGGTTGTTGTGGGTTTGCTCGGTAAGCGTCGAGAGCTCGATATGAAGAGAGATGCGGGCAGCATAACGCCAGGCATCCACATCCGCAGAAGGCAAATGTCCAGTGTTTCGGCACATGAACCACATGATGCAGAAGATGGCGCAATTCGTTCCGTCCTCCTGAGCAATACGACACTCGTCCATCGCAGTCGTCCACTCGGAGGTTTTTACACCCCGGTGAGCCAACAATTCGAGGACATATCGACCGCAACGCCCTGGCCAGCTAGAGTCTTGCTTCGGGTCGTAGACTAAGGTGCGCCGCCGGACTAAGTCCGCTTCCGCAATAATGAAGTGATTGCCGTTGACGAAGAAGGGCACGACAACCTTTTCTGTAGCACTTGGAATGCGGCTTTTGTAGTTGGGACGGTGTGCACTCCCATCCACCAAAGGTATGCTTCGAGCGACCCAGCAGCGCCACGGACATGGGTTGAAATGGTCTAGCGCTCTTTCGAGCGCGATGTCATTGACCCAGCGGCCAGGACCCAGGGTCTCGAGAGCAGTGGACAAGTCTGAATCGCACCGCTTGCTCCCGGCTGCTTCGCCGGTCTCGTCGTCAGAGAGAGTTTCAATCTGCGTGGTTTGACGATTCTCTCCAGATGGGGGCGAAAATAGTCTCGACCGTTCATTGCGGATCGCGCTGATAATAGAGGGTGGAGCTTGATCAGCTGCTGACTGCGGTCGTGAAGCATCCTCCGGCGGGTTGGAGTGCCTTCTATGCGAGGTCGTTCTCGGCCGTGTCTGGCTTGCTGGCTTGGAGTCTTTGTCGTCGGGTTCTGCAGGCGACGAAGCAGTGGCGACGGATGATGTCTCCTTGAAATTATAGATACCCACGTCCTCCGCTTTCGTAAACGCTGCTTCTATACCGTCTGTGCTTGGGTCCATAAGCGAAGTTTGGGGCCGCTGCTTCTCGCTACTAGTGTCTACGAGCGGAGCTGCAGTACGTAATGCTGCCCTACGTAAACGGTTATAGTCGTGTTGCTCGGTAGATCTACTAGCTGGGTCAGAGTCGTGCGCCTCTACTTCGTCTTGCCGTGCTCTCTGTAACGTGCTATCGTATATAACAGCTTGGATGTGAGGTGAGTCCTTCTGATCGTAGCCAAAATCGTCGACCGACTCTCTCTTGATCCGTACCGTCCTCGGCTCCCGACCGAGTCCCGGCCTGCCATCCGCAGCACCCCTGGAATCCTCTGTCGGCGTTGGACGGGCGTGTTGTGGGCTGCGTGGTGGACACGCCTCAGCAAACACCTGCGTAGGCTTACTGGTTGGGTCCTTGTTTTGTACAAAGAACTGGGCGTGCTGCTCTGCAGGTCCACCACGGTTACCCGCACCGTCAAACCGGCTTAGTGGTACTGGACTCAATCTCGGCGCTGATTGATCGTGAGAACCAAAGCCGGAATCGTCGTCAGAGTAGGGCACAAAGTCCAGGATGGGGTCATGGAGGTCAGTTTCAAGCCCTACATCGCCGCGGCCAATCTCTATTGACCGTTCGGGCGATGGAGAGTATCCACCAGGAGATGCTCCGCCATCGTCATGCTGTATGTCATGTCGCAGATTGGCTTGTTCAGGTGTTGCCGTACGCTGGATCGATGTCACTGAAGCCTCGTGAATCAGTGCAGCCTCGTTTCGCTCAGCTTCTTGGATTGGCGAGAGTTGTGAGGCCTCAACTCGGTCAGCTTCTTCAATCACGAAAGCGGTGAGCTTCTACACACAAAGCGCCTCCGCTTAGTCGGGCGAGCCGTCTGCACCTGCGCAGCCCATTGCTTCTTAGCTCGTTCCACATCGCCCGGCGTCCATTCACGGTCGAGTCGTGTTTCACGCTTCGCCTTCTCTGCATCCATGAACCGTTTCGCGCCTTGCAAGTCCGCCACTTCGGCGAAGGAGTGTAGCGCGGCGAGGAATCGTTGGCTGAGCAATGCTTCGATGCCGAAGTAAGCCACTACATGCTCCAGCTGAATCGCCCAGCTACCTGCTCCGTAATGGTCAATGAATCAGCAGCGATACTCCGTGGAGGGTAAGTAGGTCAGAGCAAGACACGCACTCTGGGTCAGGCGCGTAAGCAGTGGGGTGCACCGCTTGTCTTTGCTGCGGATGACTGCGATGCCCAATTGGCGGATGGCGTTGAGGCTATCTTCGCCCAGGACCTGCCAAAACCACCCTTTGCGCCCTTCGCGCTCTGCAACCACGTACAACTCCCGAAACTGCTCTAGGCGGGCCCGCGCGATGCCAGTTATTGTTACATCGTCGGTCAATGGTTTCAGGTTGGCTTTGTAGAGCAGCACTGCACGATCGAGCTCCCCATCCGGCATATGCTCTGCTTGCATGTCAGGCGATCATTGGCGAAGCACAACCTGGTGAATGCGTGCAGAAGGCAGCTACTTATAGTGTTGCGTCTAGGCGCATGCACTTTTACATTTCGCAACAATCGTAGGGTTGGAGGAGGCAATGTTTCAGCGCAATGTAATTGGTAGGGCAGCGCGATGGGAAACGGCGGCTCGGACGCCGGCTTTCCCGAAGTTTGTAGTGAGAAAGCCACTGAGCTTACATGAATTTTGTGGTGAGTCGCGCCCACTACACTAAAGCTCACGCCTGAGGCATCATTGGTGGGGTGGCTTCTGTAGTAGTGTGGCCTCCCCTACTACAATGTCTCTGTCCCAACGCATCAGAAGCGGCATCGTTTTATGTCTACAATGTTGCCAGCGAAAAAAGATGACGCTGAGCAGGGTGGCGCATGATAGGCAGTGTTCACGGTCGTGTCTATATTCCGCTGTATCGCGATACGCTCGTACACCGCACATTGATTACACAATGCCGAGACGTTACCCTGCTCAGGTTGAAGCGTCGCCTTGCGCGTCCGGTCGTGATACCATTAGCTTCGTTGTTACCACCGTCCAGTCGCTGTAGCTGGCAAGACTCGCGGAAACGCGAAAGAAGACGCTACAGACTTCCTGAAGGGCGACAATATGGAGGACATACCCGTGTTATGGAGGACATACCCGTGATCAGCTTTGTTGTGGTGATTCCGGCACCGCTGGAAGGAGAATGGGTCAAGCGGATACTACAATGAGTGGAGGGAAGCGTGGGCGCATAGTACAGTAGTGCGCTGCAAGCGGCAGGGCTTGTGGTGGGAAAGAGCCAGACATAGCGATTGGACGGTAGCGATGACTGAAGCGATGCAATCAAGGCCGGATGGCTCATGCTACCCATAGCAGCCCATTCGATAACTAGCAGGTTACGGCTGCGCAGCAGGATTCTCTGCTTGGAGACAAGCTCGAGGTGCGGAGATTGGGTGAACTTGCCAAGGATCCAAGGACGTCAATACCGCCATCGTCGGCATTCGAAGAGAGGGCTGTCCTTTCTCTAATGCAAGCTCAACGACCGACTCTGGCGTATGTCATCACACGGCAGTGACCGGAACGAGACACCGATACTGTCCGCCTGCTCTACTCCTCGTCGCAGCCAACACTGCACCGCTCCTTTACAACGCAATACATGGTGCACAGCACCTGTGTTGCTCATACCCTCACATCGACACGACATACTTGTAACCGTCAGTAGCATGTACATAAGCAGCAGTGGTCAAGGTCTGTGGCGTAGATTCTAAGCGCTTGCGGTGCCGAAGCGTCTCCAAGCGGAAATAATTGAGCTTATGAACATCCGACGGCACAGTCATAAAAGCTATACACACCCACTGCGCTGATCATTCGCACTGCACGCCGACATGATTGATATGCACCTTTCAATAGGCTGTGAGCCTGCTTGTAGCTACTCTCGCTCCGCCTCCTCATTCAAGACTCTGAGCACAGTGTGCGGCTGATAGCTGCGGACGCCATTGCGGACCTCTGCTTCCAGTCTTGATACGCTATAACCGCTGCTAAAGCGACGTTTCTGACAGATACTACAATGCTGGCAGTCTGCGCCCCATCCTCCTCCGTTTTCGGACTCTCCTCTGCCTTGGACAGATCAAGAACGGCCAAGGCAACGTCTCCACTCGTTAGAGTCTGCACCGGTTTGCACAGTCTCCGCTGCTACCTCGCTAGAGCTCGTCAAAAAGGCCTCCTTCAGAACCATTGGCCTTCCGCGCGACTGTTACAGCCAATACGCTCGTACAACCTTCCATACTGCGAGCAAGCTCATCCACCGCAATATCAATGATCACTGAGATAGCATGAGCGGAACATGCTGTGGAGAAAGCTATGCCGTAAGCGCAGAGGGAATGCCAAATAGTATGTTGGACTATCTACCGCCGATCTCAAGCCACCCGCTCATACAACAACGCGTACTCACCCATTACACCTTCGCATTAAGAGACGAACAGTTGCTGATGGAAGCTCATCTGCCCCAGCTCCTTCATCTCACCTTCCATGCGGCTCACCGTTGGCGCCGCGCTACAGCAATCGGAATCTCGAAACGCCGCTGCGGTGCTTCGATAACGGGCTGTGTGGCAGAGTGTGGTTCGAAAGGTTACTTGTCTGCTGAAGTAGACGCCAATAACAAGGTCTGTAGAATCATGACCAAAGATCACGACTTTTGCAGGCATGCTCCAGAGGGCGAGTGTTGTTCAAGTGCTTCAGCAGGACGGTGCCAGTGCACTTGTACAGCACCACAAGAGACGCCCCGAAGCCGGATGTAATGTAGTCTCTTGCCTGTGTAGCCGGCTACCTACGTCGCTTCCAGGGCACCATGGAATCTGCTGGGCTTGACATCGCCGCATTTTCATCATTCCACGCATGCTCCACGTGGATGAGGCCGAGGACGTACTGGTATGCGGCTTCCGTTCGATCGAAGGTTGCTCGTGGGGCAGAGATACACCCCTCGATTGCGACACCTCGCATCATCCGTTAGGAAAGAGGCAGAGCATAGTTGTGAAGGAGGCAAAGCATAGTTGTGGCAGAGGCGGAGCATACTCATGGCTCTGCAAGGCTTTAGAGACGGTGAGCACCTTACTGCACTCTGGCAGTGTTGCTGTGCCGGGTAGGGATTTAGTTGTCGTACTGACTGCGCAAACTCATACTGTTTGATTATCACTGCTACAGCCATCGCATCCCGCGCATCGTTATCCCACGCATCGCCGTCCTGCGCATCTCCATCCTGAGAATCACCGCAGAGGTGGCAGTTTATGTAGCTGCTCTGCTGCTGTTCTCACGCCGCCCGCCAACGAGAACAGGAGAGACGGCATCACCATCAAGCAGCAACACCGCTACACCACTTCCTAACGTGCGCGTTGCCGCTGTGTGCATCTGCATCAAGTTTCGCACGGGGCAAGCAATGATCGGGACAAGGCTTGAGGACGTGGTCAAGGACGTCGCCGGCGGCATGCACGACTGCAAGGAGAGCCGGCAAGAATGTTCAGACAAAAGGGTTCGGCGTGGAGATGGAGCATGAGATGAGATTGCTTTGGGAGATGTCGGCCAAAAGGCATATTTCGCGTGCAGTTAGGAGTGGTCAATATTCCGGAGCTTGCTACAAGTGCACTGCGCAGAGGCGTGGATTGCCAGCATAAAGCTAAAATGCAGCATTGATAACCTTGTCGCTAGCATTTGATGACCTATGCCTGTCAGTGGTAGAAAGTAGCTGTGACTGCGCCGCAGTCGCGAGCCTTCGTCGTCCTGAACACGCTCTTCTGAATAAAGGCGGCTTCTGCAGCGTTTGCTTGTAGGCGCTATTAGAACGTTTGCTGAGTGCGACGGCCCGCTCGAGGTTGGACCCATGGAGGGAGTCTACCCTCGATCGTCTCATCTCTTGTTACTCTACCTTCCGTACGAAGTTGTGCCTATATCGAGCATAGCGACTCATGCGTCTTGTTCACCTGTGAAGCAGGTTTGTGATTGTTATGCAGCGATATGCATGATTCATGGTCTTGGGCGACTCCACAGATGATGTCGAAGACATGACTCAGGCGACGTAGAACATCGACGTGCCTCCGCTCCGTCCCCTCCCCATCGCCCGCATTAGAAGCTGGACACCCGATTGTTAGAGAGCGGGTGGCTTGAAGGACTACCATCCACGAGAGGACCTCCTGGCCACTCACTCATCTAGTGCTCACTTGTTGAACCTCGTTCTCAGCAACTACAAAGGAAGGCATAAACATCCCTCTCATCGACTACTTGTCAGGGGTGCTATCGAGTGTGATGAAACACTCAATCTCGATTAGCCTCAACGCCTTCACGGTGGCTTCAAACGCATCTTTCACTCTCGGTCTGGCGAGGACATCTACAAGGTCGTCCCTTGTGCCAACACACTGGTTATCGATGTTCTTCTCCGACTCGACATATGCAAAGCATCACTATTATCAACCAGAAGCTTAGTTCTGCTCGTGCTTGCGCAAAGGTCTGGAAGGTAGGCGGAAGTCTCTTCATTATGTTACTGCGCCGGACAATGACCTGAGCCGGCCTTGAAGCCTGCAACGTGATCTGCTTCCATGGTACGCAGCTTCTAAGGTGCGGCTGCACCGTCAGCGCCGGTCCTACCATGATTCTCCGGCGCTAGCAGTTTGCCCGTGTTCGCTTCATGGCCTCCCCATCCTCATGAGCTCAAATGGGGACTTTGAAACCATCTCAACCGTTATCTCAGTAAGACGGGCCCTAACGTCTTGCAGAGTCAGTTCACTTGCCGTACAGCTATTCGACATGACTCACGTATTGACCACTTGCTCTCAGTCCAGCCTGCTCTCGGCAGCGCACCCAAGATACCCGCACAGCGCATTAGAAGCGCTTGCCCCTCTTCCCCTCCGTGGTGGCAACAATGGCCGCTTGGGGGGTCCTCATCCTTCCATCTTGCCCTGCATGCTAGACGTGTAGCAGCACGCATAGACGCGTGACAGTACGAACGGGCGCGTAGAGTGGCAGCCGTGAAGGGTCCAGTCTCAGGTGCGTCACGTGTGTGGGAGGTGAGTCTTCGCACCGCTTGCAGACTATGAAACCTAACTACACCACCGATTCAGGCTTGTACTGTAGTCTTGCCTCAAGTACTCACGGCATCTCAAACTCTTTCCCATTGGAGCGTGCCGCGTGTGTCTCGATTCGCTGTTGCGACGGTTCTAGGGAATGAACGGAGCAGCCTTTCTTGGGGCACCGTGGCTTCATTGTCCATCCTCCAGCAGAAGCGGATGAAGTGGGAGAAGATGCATTGTCAAGCTCAGTGCGAGGTTCATGATGGATGCGATAAGAGTACGGCGTTGGTGGGGCGGGATGGGAGAGCGGAGTCGTTGTCTATGGTCAAGATGGAGGAGCTGAATGGGCGAGATATGGTGTGAAGCCCCTGTGACTGAGCCTGAGACCGAAACCAAGACCAAGACCGAGACCCGAGAGCGGGCAAGTGCAGGTGCAGGTGCCGGTCCAGGCAATTGACGACACGGGACCGGTGCATCGGCAACGATGCCACGTCAAGCATGGGAAGCAAACGCGCGCCCGCCATCGACATTCACTTCTCTCATCTTCTCTTCCCCCTCCTCATTAACATCAAACGACCGCCAAGCGTCATGTCAAGAGCAAGCATCACATCCAAGGCGAGTCATCGGACCAAGCGCGGCTTCGACCGACGATTGAAGAGCCAGAGCCACGATCATACAACGGGCAAGGCGGCCGCGAAGCAACGGCAAGCGTCACACTCAAGTAAGTCCCCGAAGCCGTACAAAAAGGACGACCTCGCGCAGCCAAGCACAGCCGCGACGCCACAGAAGAGAGCCGGCACCACGGCCCCAAGCACGGAGAGGAGAGCGAAGCAGGCGAGGATGGGAGATGCATCCCATTGAGATGTGAATGACCAAGCCACACGTGCGAGCAAGCCAGTAGCAGGAGAGCGCTCGAAGGAAGTTGACCGGGCAGCCGTGGGGCATGCAGCGTGGACAGGTGCGAGTTTGGTTGGGAAAGGGGCTGTGCTGGCTGGAAAGGGTGCCTTGTGGGCAGGCGGCAAGGTATGGCAGTTGGTGGAGGTTGAAAGACGAGAAAAACCACTTCCGCAACTCCCTCCGGCATCTTCATCTGGCCTGGATTTAACAATGACTTTATTTGCTCCACCCGCTTTACCCGGCCGGACACAGCTTCGTCTTCTTCCAGCGACGGCATAGCAAGCACGCCGAACGAGCTGTACCCGCAAATTCTGCGCCCCGCCAAGGAGTGCAGGCAGGCTGAGTGCGAGCAGGATCTCGATCAAGAGCTAGAACCTCCAACAACGCGAGACTATGAAGGTCCGGAGCAGTCACAACAACGCGACTGGCGTGGGAGCTCTCGTGATAGTCTCCCAGCGGGCCAGTATTGGGATTCGATTGCTGGGCGCAAAGGAGTTGAGGAGCGGGCTACTCCGGCGGAAAAGGCGAGCAGCGTCCCGACAGAGAAGGTCAATAATAGGAATGATGCTGTGGCTGTGAGGAGGTCGAACGACATACTGGGCCGATTTCTGGAACCGACCGAGAGCAACCAATCCCAACACCCAAAACCGCTGTCAGCCACTCTCGCCTCCCTCGAAGCCGCCCTGGACAACATAGATATTCACCCTTCAAGACCTGCGCCGGCTGGGCACCATTCGCACCGGACTTACCTCGCCATCATCTTTGCCATCGTGCTGCTTCTCTCCTCCCCCATCATCGCCGCCTCACTCTACTACATGGTCCACCCCGACTTCCTCCACTACGTCGCAGCACCGCCAGAAGATCATCACAACCCTCTCCGCGTCCTCAAGACCGACCAAACCCGCATCCGGGAGCTGGCCACGCAGCTCGACGATCCCAACGACTAAGGTGTCACTTTCTGGCAAGCCATCACCTTCGCCGAGGCACGTGAGTGCAACGCCTACTACATCGCGTGTCGCCTGTACACCAACCCGGCCCAGCACGCTTGGCTTTGGCAGCGCTATCAAGCCCACGTCCGAAACGGCCAATGTCCGGCCATTTGCGAAGACGGAGTCAATAACGTAGCGGCGCTGGAACGCACGGCCCCAACGTTAGTCCACACCCTCTCTGGCCCTCTCAACCAAACCCTGCAAAGCCTCGACACCATCGTCAACACCGCCCGTCGCTTCGGCCCAGTCATGGAAACCGGCCTCGCCTACTCCTCTCAAGAGGCGGGGCTGCACCTTTTACGCGTCCTGCAGCAGCCATACCCTCACTCGACCTACCTCACCACCCTCCCGACCATCACCTCCCACCCCTCCCTCCTCCTCACCCACGGCGCCTACATCTCCGCCCACTTCCTCACCCTCACCAAACCCCTCACCACCTGCCTCCTCGCCGCCCGTATCCTCCCCGTCCCGCCTCCAGCCACCGACCTCGCGCGCCTCGCCGCCAGAACGCACGCCCTCCTCCGCGCCACCGCACGAGACACCATCGCCCTTTTCGCGCAGCTCGACGAAGCCGGGAAGACGTGTAAAGGGCAGACGCGCGTCGTGCTCCGCTTGCTCGAGGAATGGCATGTGCTGTACCCCGCGCGGGCGCCGGCGTGGGAGTGGCTGCCGTTGCTGTTCAAGGGCACGGTGGGGCGGGCTTGTGCGTGGGCGGGGCGGCAGGAGCGGGCGCACGTGCGGCATTGAGGAAGTGGGGGTTGGGATCTTGAGGCGGGAGGTGCAGGTCGAGGAGGAGGCGGAGGCGTGGTTACGGGTTTTGGTTCCGTTGAGGTTTGGTCGGCGGGAAGAGGAGGTTGGGCGGTTGGTTCAGGAGGCGGTCAAGGCGTTTTGGATGGCGGGGGAGCTGGCGATGGAGTGGAGAGGGGAGATTGCTGGGGGTGGAGAGGGGAGTGAGTGAGTGAGTGAGTGAGTGAGTGAGTGAGCTAGCTTGTTGGTGGGGCGGAAAGGGAGGGAGGGAAGGCGGAGCTTGTTTTGTTCTGCTCACCTCGGCCGGGTGGTTTATCACAGATCGGATGAGTGTCATGCCGCCGACCACTTCTTGCTCCTCGTGCAACGAGACGGATCCGGTCTGTACTCCCAACCGCGATCTGAACGGCCCGTACATGTATCCACTTCGTGGGATGAATATCTCGCATCAGAACTGGACGTTTGCCCTACACAAAAGCCTACTCCCGCAACCTCACCCTTTCTCTCTCTCTCATCATAATCCCGCCTTCCTGCCGCTTTCCCGTGCGGTGGGAAGATACACGACCCGAGACGTCCCTCCGCTTCGATGTTGTGGCTGGCATCCAATCGATCAGGCAAATATCTCTCCAGTTTGCATACCTGTATTTACAGGAGGAGTAATAGGTGAGATCGACGCTAGGGTGGCTTGGGCTTTGCCATTGCTATTGGAGCGGTTTCCTTTGGGGAATGCTGTCTGTCTTTCTGTCTGCGTTGAGAGTGTTGAGCGTCGCTGGACTGCTGTATGACTTTCCCTCTTCCACCCGGCTGAAGCTGCTCCCGGTTGAAGCTGCTCCCGGCCAACGTAAAGTAGGGGCTCATCTTGCCTAGTCTTCTCAACTGCCGAATCCCCATGGGACCACGGACTGCCATCGCGTTGGGATGGAGTGCCCCTGCCGTGCGCAATTCGCTCGGTGGGCCGACGGTACATTCCATACCGCTCGCTAGAGGGAGGGCCGCAGGGGTGTGCAGAGTCTCTGTCCCACCGCTCAATCGTCGGCTGCGCTGGAGTAGTCCTGTGGGTTGTTCGCCGCGGGCTAATGCTAGCGTGAGTTCGATATGCCAGGTGCGTGGCATGGATGTATGCGGAGCTGTTGGGAATCATCGGAGTCGCTCTGAGCCGCTGCGTGCACCGTTGAGTTTTGGAGTAGCGAAGAGTAACGGATGGGGATGAAGGGGCTATGGTGTCCGCAGTGTGTACTTATACAGATGGACCTAGTAGTGGGTGTCGCAGTGATAGTGAGCCTGCACGCTCGCCAGGTTGTTGGCCGCGGAGCAGCTTCAGATACCACAATTGTCTTTATTATCCTTTCGAAACCTCCTCCTTTGGGGAAAGCTTCGAGAAGCGCTTCTGCCGACCTTTGTACACCTTATCGTTCCACTGTTCTGTCCACCAACACCCTGCGCCAGCCGATGCTCGAACAAAGTGTCTCCTTTGGACTCACCCACGCCTAAGAAGGTGAGCATTCACCCGGGCGGAAGGGCGCATAGCTCTTCGGCAGCAAAATCTGCAATAGAACCCAAGCTGGCCGAACCTATAGCCTCTGTTGGTGAATATGTAAGATGGAGAGGAGCGAGCTACGGTGCTTCCTTTGGCGTTATCGAGCACATGCAACCCCTGGGAAGGCACCGCCTGCGAAGGTGAAGGGCAGGGTCAGGTGTGAGGGCCCGCTTAGGTCTTGTCGTCGGGCGAAGCTCTGCCGCTCTGGGTGCAGACATCCAGGGCACACCGGAAGGCACTCCGGTACCTGGGAGATCTGTGTTCGTCGAATCGAGTCGCGTTGCCCACCCAGTAGCACTCCTTTAATGGCCGGCGTTGTCAATTTTTGAAGAGGTAGGGGCAGGTAGCGCCGAACTGTCTGCCCTCTGCAGTGTTCGGTATCGCAGCGTGAAGAGTAATTCGTTGATCCATGACTCTGCCTTGCACTTTCGTGGAGAGACCGTACAAGCTCTCTAATACCGTCCAGAGCGTAGTCGTCGAAGGCTCGGTACACAAAGTCATCGGAGTGTTGAGTCTCGTCTGCGAACAAGCGGGCTCAGATGTGAGCGCCTGGTAAGTAGTAGCGACAACATCGTATTTGGCCAGCTCCTCTGCCGACTTCATTCGACCGGGGCCGTGTTGAACAAGCACACGAAAAGTATGGGAGCGGGAGACCTTGTCTTTGATCACAGCCTCTCACTGCTTGATCAGTGCCAGTAGTGCCGCAATCATTGTAGGTTCGCTGATCTCATTGCTAGGCAGCTTCTGTTCTGGATGCTCTAGCTTGGCGCCGGGACCTGGATCTAGGCCATTGCAGGGCTAGGCGTCCGTAAGTGTCCGCTCGACTGTGGAAAATTACCAACCGGATCTGCTCGCTAACGTTCTTGGCAGTCAACTCTTCCGTGAGGGTAGCGGAGAACGCTGAGTCTTGTTGTGATGTTCCAAGTGAAGCTGCCGATACGTGGTGGACCAGATTAGGGTGGCTTTCCGTACGTGAGCCCGCAGTCCTGCGACATGGCTAACGCTAAGACCGGGGATGGTAGAAAGCTGTTGTTCAACGTGCTCAGAGTACTCACTGAGTGTTTCGGGGAGCCTGTTTGAAGTACGGCGATTGGATGGAGTTGCTGTGCTAGTAGCTGAGAACGAGGACCACATTCGAGATGTGATTGTGCCATGTACTTTCATCATTTTGCCGCTCGCGCTGCGCTTGCTACTTTTTGCGCTGCAACTGTCGGAAAGAGAGGAGCGAGTCAGACGAAGTCGAGACAAGATGGCTGGTGTACTCGTTCGTACTCTGATCTGTAACTAATCGACAATGCATGGTCCGAAGCTTGTCATAATGCTGCACTACCGTTGGTCAACAGAGATATATGCGATTCGATTTGACGGCATCCAAGCTCTCTGCGGCGCCAGTAGCCTTGCCTACGCAAACGACCTCGCTCAAGCAGGTGTCGTATCCTAGAGCGCACTGCAAAGCTTGAGAGTCACTACACGATTCATGGCACGGCCTTTTATGACGGTGAATACACCACACGCCAACACTTGAATCCATGCTCGGCCGCATATTGCTCGATCGTTGCGAATAAGGAGCCGACGGCAACGCAGAGCGAGCAGACGCCGCAGAGCTTTATCAACATGGAGCAAAGGTCGGAGAAGAACTGGCGTTGCTGGCTGGCGCAGATCCATACTCGGTGAGCTGACCCGGCCGTGCGCCAGGATCTCGGTTCAATCGATTAGTTCGCTCAAAGTACGCAGGCGTGGTGGATGCGGTGGACGGCTGACTTCGGAGTAGCCTTGGTCAACGAGACTTTGCCGACATCGAAAGCGGATTCTGGTTTTATCCTAATCGGTGCTGTTGCATCTACGACAGCAACCGCATGTTGTATGGTGGTGCCGTTGCCCTCATCCAGGAGACCAGCGCACACACCATTCCAGTAGAGTCGAGGGTAGTCCAGAAAGCCCAGCGAAGTGAGCATCTCCTTCCAGAATACGAGCCCCGTCCCAGGACGTTGTCATCATGCAGCCGAAGCAAGGAGGCGCCTAAAATCGCACCCGTGCATAAAACAAGCATACTGGGTCACGCAAGGGACGGGACGTTGTCAAAATAACCGTCCTTCCTGACTGCTCGTCCTCTCACGAGCACCTCGAAAGCCGTACCTTTTTCATTGACCAGCAACAAACATACTTCTCTACGATGGCACAATTGCGATCTCAGGACGACAAGCTCACTTCACTCGATCAACTGCACCACGAGGATCCACAACGACTACGTCCAGTCCACCACCGCACGCAGCGAAGCCTATCTGACGACACGACCTTCGCCTATACGCTCGAGGACGTGACCCAGCTCCTCACGCCATTTATGCGGTTAGAGAGGCGTTGGCTGCCAGAAGAACATGAGGCTTTCCAGAGACTGTGGGGTCAGGAACACAACGCGTCCGCCATTCGATCCCTCCCGTGCTAGGCTAACGTTCTAAAGCCCTTTGGATGACATTGCACCACGCTAATATGGGGAGTGCTGCCCCGCCCGAAACGCGTGCTAGAAGTCATAGGCTTTGAGGGTGGTATCGGCGCCATACTGCCCGGTTTGACCGAGTGTAGTACGGCGGATGGACGCTGTCGACATCTGCTATGGGTTAGCGATTGTGGAAACGAATGACTTCCCTGTCAATGCGGTGGGTGGCTTGTTGCCTTCTTGGGCGCACCGAGGCTCTCAGCGCTCGCAAGTAGGCGCATTGGCGGGTGTGGATGCGCAGGTGTAGATGCGGGCGTTGTTGGCATTGTGGTGTGTACAGTATTACGTGGTGTGGTCCTGCAGCGGTGGTGCTACAGTGGTAGTAGGGTGCAGAGATGCAGTCTTCGTTCAATGAATCAGTTTGTGGCGCCGACTGTGGTTGACTGCCATTGCCGGACAACTCGCCACTTGGCTTTCTCTTCATGGCTCGCGCAGCTCACGGGGCCAGTGGTGGGCGGTTGCTGAGGTAGCTGGGGTGGCCGTGCTGTCAGTAATGCAGCACTGGTGGCTCGATAAATGCTCGTTGGCTCTGTCTTGAAGACTGATATGAGCCATTGGTCTTGCGGATAGCGTCTTGTCGGTTCTATTAGTCACCATTGCCTAGCTGCCTGCACAGCACCTCCCATTTCGCCGAGCAGAGACAACGCGGATCTGCAGCTCCGCGCGTCTCAATCCGACGTTGGGAGAGGTGGCGGTGATGGCGTGGTAAGAGAGCAACAGCGTCAGGGGCATGTCCACCACCAGCAAAAGAGTCGAATCGTATATGGAGAGACATGGTAATGGTAGATAATCATTGCAGAAGAGAACCTGCACAAACCATGCCTTACACGCCGGTAGTTACGTGCATATTGCGTGGCTCGTACACGACGCCATGGAATGCCGTATAGGTCGCGATGCTCAACTGATGCACTGCAGGCTGCAAAGTGCGTAATGATCGCTTCAGCCACCTCGACCTCGCATGAGTCGAGCAACGCTGCCCCCTTCGACTATGGTGCCGACGATGCTGCAGCAGGGCAACCAACGGCCCGAGCCCTCAGCCGCAGCCAGTGGTTCGCCAAAGGAAGCTGTAGGGCTGCAAGATTGTAATAGGCTGGGGGATCTAGTCAGCGTCGGCCCGACTTGCGACTGACGCTCGCCGCATTCGTAGCTTACTCTCCATTATCGCATCTGTAGACTATCAGCTTGCGCATGACGATGCGCAACAGATTGTTCGTTGGAGTAGCACACAGAATAACGAGATATTCCGTAATCTGCCGACTTGTCAGCCGAGCTCCCTGTCGCTTGAATGAAACAGACGGCATGTACAGCCTCGACAATAGACAAGCAGTTTAATAGTCATAGTGGTTTTTAAGGCCCCTCTATCTCTCAACTTCTACCCTAGCTACATTCGACAGGTTGGCCGGATGTTTCCTTTCCATGTGCTTACCTATAAAAGAGATCTACCTTCTCCGAGCGTAACGGGGAGTATGCAATTGGGCAGACGATAGGGCAGATGGGGCAGACGATGGGGCAGATGGGGCAGACGATGGGGCAGATGGGGCAGACGATGGGACAGATGGGGCAGACGCTGGGGCGCATTGGCGCATCTTGTGGGGCACTCGGTAAAGCGCCCGGCGTAGCACCCCAAGCTGAAAGCGCCGGGCGGACTTTGTGATTGCAGCCACGCGTGCGAGGATGCAGTATCCGCCTGTTGACGCTGCGAATCAGATTCCAAACCTATTGAACATGATGCATCTACGGCTAGCTACGTCCCTCGAGTCTGGGAAGTTTCGTCGAGACCTCGTCCTCAGCACTGCGATCACCCATCCATCTGCAGCCGAGCTGAAGCTGAGGCATTGGAGCATAGCAACTTGACACCATATTCAGAGTGAAGACATTAGTGACCATATAGACTGCTTGCGCACACTGGCCGCTCCATTCGAGAGTTTGGAAATTGCGCAGCAACATTCATCATTGCACTGGCACCCGCAGCCAAAGAGGACGTCGACAATGTCGTCGACGATGGCTCTGTGAGCTGCCAGCTTGGCTGGTGAAGGCGACCACAAACGCCACGAAAGCCTAGAAAAGTATTACGCAGCCTCCACGTTCTACGGAGGTAGAGGCTCAGAAGCGGCGGGATAGCGATGCGGCTGTCAAGGTAGGCTGCGATATCTTCGACGGTCGTGCCTTTGATGCCCTCGCTTATGCATATTCCAAGTGCTTCTTGAGAAACAGCTATCCACATGCCGTACGGAAGGAAGGTAACAAGGGAGACACATACACTCCACTTGCTGTACCTTGCATGCGGAAGGCTAAGGATCGCCTTGACCTGCAAGGTTAGGTTGAGGTTTCGAGAATATGTTGTTGATATTAGGGATGGTCGCAAATGATGGAGAGGCGATTACACATCGCTCTGCTCAGCGGCGCATTCGAGCCGAGACATGAGCTTCCTGCTGGGATCCGGGCCCAGGTGGAGAAAACAGGCGATTGGCAGCGCCGTTCCCTCTTCGAAGCACTTGAGAGCACGGCCCGTCCCTACGTTTAGTGGCAGACCTGGTATACTCATGGACCGGCTTGCACGACATTTAGTGCAGAAAGGCTAGGGTTCTCGACATCGGATACTGTCGGTGTCGGTGGAATATCAAAGCATTGCTTTGGATTCATGACCTTTTGGTGTCATCGGTGCGGTTACTTTCGCAGGCATCTCAAGGTCCGCATCTAGTGGAGTAGTGAGCAAAGGCAGGCGCCCGAGGTTCTGCCTGTGTGTGGTCATTCGGCAATTCAGCTAGCGGCGCTGGTGCGGGCACCTCGCGGTCACAGTCGATTCTGGGATGGAGTCGACCATAAACGGACTGGTGACCTAAGATATTGCATCGCCTTAGACTTCACGCAAGCTCATGACGACTGCGTGCTGGCGAACTGTCTGCAGACGATCATCGTGCGGACGTCCACTGAAGCACGTGCTTCCGGTAGTACAAGCACGTTTGTTGGTCGTCGCTTAGCTGATGGAATGGTGCTCCGTTTTCGCGTGGGATCTGTCCTGCGTGAACAGTCCGTCTCTCGACAGGTAAGCTAGAAGGTCAAGTACCTCTCTATACTTCGCTTGGAAGCTTAAGGGCCATACAGGCTTTGTATTGGGTGACCTTTGGTTTACTGCATAATCCTTTAGAGTCAGCATGCTAGCAGGTCGCAGACAGTCTTAGATGGTTTACCATTTCGATGTCGAAACTGTATGACCGCTATATACGCTTAACGTCGTATTCCGGTCTTCATGAGCAGCAACCTTCGAACTCGCAGCCCGCGTGCTAGACGGTAACGGAACATCTCTATCAGTCATCGAAGAAGCACGATTGCCTCACTTTCTGACGTTCAGGTTGCTATACTAACATTTAGGTGGATAAAATATTGCAGTGCTGAAACCGCGCTAGCAAAACCTTATATCTGGCCTGCTTCTGTGTTTGGCAGGAACGAGATCTGCAGGATTGGCATGGAGAAGGTGTAACGTTGATGCTCCAATGGACTCGTCCCCATGCTAATCTTCATGCAGCATTGGCAGCAACTTCCGCAAAGGGGCACTATGCTCAACGTTCTTGATCTACAGCTTGCCGTTCGCGCAACGGAGGCGCAGGTTGGTCTCCTCCAACAAGTCCGTGACGAACAAGATCGTGCATTTACCACAATTGTCCAGATCTGTCGAATCTTGCAAGAAGTCGGCCCGCATCACCGGGGCATGCCCGTAGTGCTGCCGACTGTCCAGGCAGTGCGGAAAGCGATGCGCAAACTTGCTCGAGAGGTGGATGCATTGCTACGATAGCGTTGTACGTTGGCTGCGATACAGGCCTAGGATGTGCAAGGTGGCCGCCGGTGAATGTACGTGGCATACAAACACGCGAGGGCATGTACGCGGCGGACATATACGTGGGCGGCAACGATGTGGGCGGGCAAGGACGCGGTGGCCAGACGCCTCATAGAGCAGGGGTCGCGGGCGAGGCCGTAGCGGATATAGCGGTATCAGGCAGGGACGGGGTAGTGTTGGAGGTTGTCATCGATGTAGTGGTCACATGCTACTCGGGAGGGGGCAAATGCTCATGGCTGTTGAGCCCGTTGGCAGGGTGATACTGCCGGAAGCGAAGAGACCATAGGAATGCTGCAGATCATAGTTCGTAATCCTCCGCGATGATGCTGGGCACGGAGACACCCGGTGAGTGGGCGAGCGATACCCTTTCAGTGTCACCTCTGAGTCTCGCAATCTGGGTTGGTTTACGGCCCACAATGTCTCTGTATACAATGCTCGCTTGAGATGCCGATTTTTGCCGCGAGGACATTGAGTTCGCCACTTCGTGGAGCTGCCTAGGGTTTTTCTGGCGATCTCCCTCTCTCGCTTCGCGGTGTGACTGCCTACGAATAAGGTTCGATAACCCTCCGGAGTGCCAGCTTTGTCAAACATCCCTTCAAACTTAATTGCTACGCGGACCCAATTCATCAACAAACATGCAGTATTGTCCTATCGACCTGTCAACATCGCAATTATCGAAAGCACGAAGCTAACCCTACATGAGAGTACACAATGGCCGTCAGCGACAATCTTCAGCGCTTCCCATTAGAGCTGCGCACCCGGGTCTTCGCAGTTGTGGTTCCTGAAGACGGACCTATCCGTATCTGCCGGGGTGCTGCTGCGCCAGCCGTCACACGCGCAGCGGAATGGCCTCGTGCGGATGAAAAGAATCTCCGCTCTGTCGAAGAGTTCCGGCCGTATGAGGAGTCGTTATGGCGGCGTTGTGAGCTCACGTCCTCGCAAGCTAAGGATATGCAGCACCCCGACATTGTTGATAGTTTTGTGCGTACCGCTAGCGACCCGAGCAAACCCACTCAACTGGAAGCATGCCCAGGTCCATACGAAAGCGCCTACGTACAGGCTGTTCAACACATTCTCCGGTTATCTACCATGGTCGGTATTATACTGATTGACCATCTCATTACTGGATAGTGAAGCAACTCGGCGGGGCTAATGGAGACTTCAGCGCGGCGGAGTCAGATCGGAAGGCTCAGGCCGAGAAGTATACAGACTCCTCAGACAATGTCGTTACCGAAATTGCGACATTGGCTGGTAGAGCTATCGCCGAGCGTGCCATAGAGTTGCGTGGCGTCGATAATGCAAGTTCTAATCAGGGAACGAACAACGAAGCTGCGGACGGGGAAGGCGTCAGCCCAGAAGGTGTAGGCGGCGAAAGTGTTGGCGGAGAAAGCGCTAGCGGAGAAGATGATGACGGGCAAGACCATGACGGAGAAGGCTTCGAATACGATGCCGCGGACGAGGAAGGTTCGACTATTGGAGGGTCTGAAGCCTCTGACGAAGATTTCGGCGATAATGGCTCCCGCGACCAGGATTCCGGGGATGAAGCTTCCGACGAAGAAGATTCCAACGACGAAGACAATCCCAATGACGAAGACGGTCCCAACGACCAAGACGACCCTGACGACGAAGACGGTCCCAACGACGAAGACAGTGCCAACGACGAAGACTCCAATGACGAACTTTACGACGAAGAAGAGTTTGACGATGACGACTCGGTGAAGGGAGACTCTGACAACGACTCTGCGGATGGATGTCCTGCCGAAGTCAAAGTCGACAATGACGCGCTCTGTAGGGATGATGAGCACGTAGAGGACGGCACAAAGTATAATCTTCCGGTCCAAGGCCTCGCCCTCGGTGACGGCTTCCATACAAACAATGCAGTGCATTATGGATCCGAAGTCGAGGGCTTTGCGCAACCTGTAGGGGAGACCGGCTGTGATACAGCCTCCGGCGCAAAGGACCTGACAATGCAGGGTGCACGTGCGGACGATGAATGGCGACATGCCAACGACATGATGGCGACTGCGTCGCACGCCGCTGCTGAACCGGGGGCTCCAATGTCGACTGTGTCTGCTATTGCATCTACCGCGACTGATGAGAAGGAAGAGAGCGCACACATCAGAGGTTTGCGGCGCGCATTTGATCTTGCCGACCGGGACCTCGAAGAATACATCAGCAAAGTCGGGCTACTCAAGGACGATGAGAGGAATATCATGGAGTTGGAGCGCGAATTGCGTTTCACCCGCCGGCGGATCGACGCCTCAAGAGCGCTCGAGAACGCGCTAGACAAGGATGCAGAAAGAGATCGCGCGGAAGATCAAGAGGTTGCCAAGGACGGAGATGAGTCGATGTGCGACTCGGATCACTCCGACAGCTTTTTCGAGCATGATGATCAGGAGTCTACGAACGACGTAAAGGATAACTGGCTCCGCAGGGGGCGCGATTGCGGCGGCTCTGCCGAGCTCGAGGAGATGATCAAATCGCGTCTGCTTGAACTTCCGTACTACCTTAGGTAGAGTTGTAGGTACGAAGCGGCTCTTTAGCCTGTTTAAGCGTGATAGCTTTAGTAGTTATTACGACACGATTAGTATAGGCGTAGCTGCACCCTAGTGCTCGATCTTTAGCGAGTCGAGTAATAAATAGCTAAGAGTTCTACTTAACTACTCGCTATCGAGTATAGCTCGATAGTAAATAGAAGGCGACCTTTAAGCATAGCTTAATATAAGCTAGAATAAGATATAAATTTCTATATTAGTAGAGTTTGAAGGTTAAAGTTAGAGGTTTATAAGGCTACTACTAAGTAGGGATATAAACTTAGTCTAAGGACTGAGTAGGTAAAGAGTATCCATCAGAACTACTCAGCACCGCCACCTTCACATCGAAACGACCTCTACGTAGGTTGGCGTGTCAGTCGCATGGCAGCGTTCGGTTTCCATTGACATTATGGGCGGACGAAAACGTCAACACGCCATCCTCCACCAACACGGCGACCATCTGAAGCGCCGGCTATTATCGCCGCGGTGACTTTCTTCGACAAGTCACAGAAGGTAGAGCTATTACTTTCCTGGATCCCAACCAGGACTGATTCTGGAATGGTCACACAGCATGACCGCGGGACTTCCGCAGACATGTTGTGCCACCCTTTCACCGCTCTGGCCACGCAATTGCAATCAGGCGATCGTCCTGACTGCCCTAAGTATCAAGATGAAGCTCAGTCCAATTTCTCACCATCGCGTGGAAGCATCATTCCCCAGGTTCTGGCCGTACTGGGAGTGTGCCTTCCCACAAGCTTCATCATGACATCGAAGCCAACCATCACCACCTCCCATGATGCAGACGCTCTAACACGCTTCAAAGCTCGACACACGGCAATCGAGGCCATGCAAGACCACTCCAGACGGATGCTACAGGAGTTGAGCCTTGGGCGGGGGCGATACGAAGATTACGGCGGCGCAAGCGGCGACAGTGTTGGCGGCAACGCCGGCGATATCAAAGCAAACAGCGTATTACGTGAACCGAGACGGCTATCAGGTCTCTCGGAGGACCACGATAACGGACCTGTCAACTCCAGTTGGGGTGGCTGGCGTGTACTTGGTGGAAGTCGCGAACCGACTCCTGCAGCCAAGCCCAGCGGTCAGCTGACAGATGCCACGGAGGTAGGACAGCAGTTCCATGAAAAGAACGAAGCTCAGCATATTGCCTCGCCACAATCAGAAACCAAGCACGGTCATTTCGACGGCACCGACCATCACGGTGCGCAGCTGGGTCGAGCAGATGCTGAATGCGCTGCTGCTGCTCAGGCTTCTTCGCGAAGTGACTCCGTTCGCCGGCAGCGATTCGATCGGAGGCTCTCCCACGACTATCCCATCCAGCGCCCGCCAGCCATCCCCCCTTTCCAACTCACGCAACCGACTACATCTGCACCGCCGAAGATGCGAGGCGAGCCTCTGCTGCAGCGCAAGGAAGCTTCAGAGAATCTGACGGAGGAAGGCAACGGTCAGCAGCCCTGATTCGTGGATTCCCAATGACGGTACCGGTAGCGCTGCATGTGGATTAGACAGTACCCTAGCTGGTGTATCGTTTGGGTTGCAAGGAGGCAGGATTCTCGTTTGTAGCTTAGCTGCGAGCAAACCAGTGCAAGCTTCCCCCCCTTTTGCTTCACCGAATTGCCGAAAGCTGCACGCTACCGATACTGACTATATCATAAAGACATCTAATACGATCATACCCAGCAGTAATAGCATTCCACTCTGGCATCAATGGACCCAGCACATCGCTGTGTTCCGCTCTTGAGCCTTTTCGCGACGTGGGCACTCTGAGTGCATAGGGTTCAACCTCGTAGACAGACTATCTCAGCACCGTCTCGTAGCAGTGACAAACCTATCGAGCTCTGGCCGTGACAACCCACATGCAGTGCCATTTCCCGTGTCGAATCTCAGCTCCGCATCCCCCGAGCGTTGCATCACCCAAATTTCGGCTTCAGCCTTCCCTCAGCGCGCAATGCTCTCATCATGCGCACAAGGGCCAGCCTCCACTCCCACGGATCGACGAGCACATCCCCAAGCGCCACGTTGACGGTCTTGTTGATGTTCGTCTGTCTGATGCGCTCCGAATGATGCCACTTACAGGCTACAACCAGGATACCGCAGTCGTGCGACTTCTGCTGCTGCGGGACTTCCGAGGCGGGCAGCCGGGCGAAATCGAGGCCGTGAGTGCCCATCGACTTGCTGCGGAGGAGGTGCGAAAGATGGGTGCTGATGTCGCTGGCGGTGGAGGACGAAAAGACGCCTCCTGCCGGATCATATAACCAGGAGGTGTGGTTGGTGACGCTGACGAGGAGCAATGCCCAGTGCACAGCTTTGCTGTTGACGGGTACAAGAATGTGAGTGCAAGTCAGTTTCAAGTCCGGGATCAGTTCGTCGAGCTCTGAAAGGTCCGCTGCCTGGAGGACGCGCGCCACGGTCGGAGCAATCAAGAGGATGTTCTCAGGCAGAGGGTCGACTTTGATGGACGCGCAGCTGGCAGCAAGGGTAGCGTTGCGTGGATGTTCGAGCCAGGCCTGGCCGAATGCAATGGCATTGTCGGTGAGCCAGCCATAACAGTCGGAGAGGGAGTGAAGATCGATTCGGTCGATGGATATGTCGTAGAAGGACACATAATGCTGAGCCTGCGCGGTGCGTAGCAGATGTCAGTGGTCATGTTCGGCATGGCGGAGGGAGGAACGCTGGACGTACCTCATCCATTTTGGGTACGGTACGTGTAGCTCTTATCCACCATGTTGCTAAAGAAGCAGGTCAGAAGCCCCGTTTGCCTCCAAGAGCGTGATGAGACACATGCAGGACAGCTTGGCGGGTCAGACCTGTACGACCGTGCATGTAGGCGCATGATCTGTGTAAGATGACCAGGTACGCGCAAAACCGAAGGGTGGATCATGACAATAAGTCTCATGTCGTTGAGCTTGCCTCCGTGCCAAGTCCACGAATGCTACTTCACGTCTGATATGAAAGACGGGCCGCCCTGTCGCTCATGTTCAAGTGATCACGTGGTAACGAACGACAACGCTGGAGCACTACTGCACCAATGGTGGTGACGGTTGGCGAAAGCTCGTTTGCTGGGTGCGCCTGCTTTCGCGTACAGTCCAGTAACGCAGCAAACCAGATGAAGAGAAGGTGATCACATTAGAAGCGGCCAGCGATACTGTTCGCTAAACGCCGCCCCCCCTACGAAGGTCCGGCGTAGCACTGTCATGCCTACAGGTACCAGATGGTGCAAGTATTGCTCCACCGCGAGAGCGTTCCCGGCCCAATGGAGTGTTCTCAGGACAGGAAAGCACGGTGAGCGGTGTGGCCAGTGCTATGAGAGCTTCCTGGCGACTCGTGGGATCGGGAATGATGAAGGGGCTGAGGTTCAGTGTCCTCCACCGCCCGTACAGCAGCAAGTGCAACAGCAACGCCTACCTCAGCAGGCGCTCCAGCAACAAGGACATCGGCAGGCGCTCCAGCAACCGCGACGGGCGCTCCAGCCTCAGCAGCAACGACGCATGCACTACCTCGCCTCCGCCCAAGGAGTCATGCAAGACAACCGGGCCGCTATTCTTGTCGCCATGACCGCCCTCATCGTCTTCATCGTCATCCGCGTGCTGCCGAGCTACACGAAGGGATGCGAAGTCGTGGAGGGCCAGCCAATCACCGTGACCGTCTCCGCACACACGGCCGGGTCAACGAGGGAAGCAGGGGTGGAAGGCATGGTAGTGGTAGTTGAGGCGAGTACGACAGTACTGCGCGGGTAGGCAGTGGATTGATGGTGGATCTGAAGCAAATACTGGTTCCATGACTGAAGTGTTGGGCATGACAGTGCGGTGCAGTCCAGTCTTCAAGGTGTTGCGCACGATCTACAGCGGGCTGCCTTGGGCTCCTCTGTTGAGGTTGTTCACTCTCCTTCTCCTTGAGCGTGACGAAGCCGATGTAAGGGTAAGGTACAGCCAGGAAGTGCGACCGTCTTCTCCGCCGGTCCAGATACATGTAGGAGATACCTTTTTCTGTTACAATGTAACTATTGACGTCGTGAACCGGCGCCATGAGGTGCGTGTGGCTGTGCTTCAGCGTGAAAGCAACATGAACATGAAGATCCCATTCTGAACTCTTACCTTTCCCACAGCCATGACTTCACTCATACGCAGAACCGCTCCTTACCTTCACTCGCTACCACATCACCGCTTGCTCTTACCTTCTACGACCGCCAACTCCACACACGTGATCACTAGACGCTGCAAGGAATCAGATGGATCCCGCGCCGTATTTCTGACAGTCACGTGATCCCGCTCTCGCGGTCGACACGTCCACTCGCTCTCTACGCGCGTCCACTCGCTCTCTACGTGCGGGCGTCCGTTCTGCAGGGAATATCTTCGCTTGCCTCGCTCAAGGCTTGTATCACGCTGAATGTAGCATTGAGGACATTGGCGAGTCAGGTAGGTGGAATGTGATGAAGAATCCCACTTGAGAAGGCTGTCTAAGCCCTTTAGGATTTCCTGGAGGCGCTCCCGCCCGCTACCCGCCCTGCACCTGCCGCCACTCGCTCTCTAATGCGTCTACTCGTACTGCCACGCGCGTCCGCTCGTTGGCGACGAACAGAAGGAGCCCCACTCCTCATGACGTGCCACGTGCCATTGGCGACATAGGGCGTCGTTGACACATATGCAAGATGCACCCGCAGGCATTGACTGCTGGCGTCCACGGCCTGCCAGCAGCGAGGGGCTGGTGTGGACCAGATTGAACAATGAAGAGCGGAGGTGAGCATGACAAAGAAGAGGCGATCGGAGCAGGGCAGTAAGCTGCCAACAGAGCCGGGCTGGCGTAGAGGTGGATTTTGCACAACAGTGTCAGTCGCTGAGGCCCACGAGCGCACAAGGTTCAACGAGGGTCACGCATGACTTGCTGCACGTCGGGCTGAGTGCAAACGATGCTGGTTTTGTCGGCGATCATGGCGCCCATAAAGGCTATCATACAACGCTTGCGACGTTTGGCTTCTCTGCTTGCATGAGACACGCATATGTTTGTCCAATCTCAAAGCCGAGATGTTGTCACAACTCGTGCGACAAAGAAAGACCCACGAGTCTGAGTGGATGACATGTTTGCCGCCAGTGAGGTGCCAACACCAACACACTTCAGCTGCTTGAAGACAGAGGTAAAAAGGGGAGGAATCAGCGGCAGTAGATCCTCACACATTCTCCTTCGACCGTTTCATCCAGATTATCTGGCATGAGTGACCGCCGGTATCACTACGGCACCCTTCTCGCCTTCTTCATCAACACTCATACCGGCGGCAATGTCCCGCCGTCACCTGCTCAGCTGGTTCGCTTGCTGCGTCAGAGCGACCCGCCATGGACACCAGCACCTACCCCCGACGCAGACCAACATGGCCTCGAGGTCGGGTTGAAGAAAGTCCTGGAGTATGGCGCGTGCTGGAAGCCGGACAAGCACATCTGTCTGGTGTATGCTCCAGACGGCCAATATGCGCATTGGGACGATGCAGCGCCGGAGACAGCATTCAGGGCGAAACAGGGCTCGCCTCACGCCATGTGGTTGCGGTCCAAGGCGACAACGCGCGCACAGAGTGACACTGACCCCAAGCTAAGCGGTCATTTCAGCGACACAGTCGGCCCCCTTGATCGAGATCAACCCCGTCTCGCACAGCAAGACCTCATTGCGGCGACCATAGCGTTGTACTGCGGCGCCGAGGTCGAAGCCAAGGTCTCGAAAGCGACTGGGCTTCTTGCTATTTCGCAGGCTTTCTTGCCCGCTTCTGCACCGACCACTTCCAGGCCCGCCGGTATCTCGGCCGCCACAGGCAGTCCGCTCACCGGCTGGGGCCAGGCCCCTAAGTCTCCCGCTTCTACGCCAACGCGCCGCCCAGACGTTCGCATCAGATCCTGTGTCGAAGCCGACGAGGAGGGGGTATCGGCTGCTGAGCACCTTCCGGATGGTTTGCCGCAGCAAGATGTGTCCGTGTCCCGCTCCAGCAGCCAGAGAAGCATACTCTCCTCTGGGGTCAGTTCTCGAGCGACATCTGAGATTGGTAGAGACGCCGAGCGCGTCCGTCAACTACAGGACGAGGTCACTGAGCTCAAGGCCGAACTTCATAAACACCAGCTGGACCAGAATCTTTACGAGGCCCGCATCCGTGGATTGGACGCCCAGCTGGCAGCGAAAGGTGCTGAGCTCGTTGACGACGACAAGCGGCACCGCGCCCACCTCGCGCACGTGACTGACGAGAAGGACAAGGCAGTCGAGCGCATCCGTGACCTGGAGGCCCAGCTGAAGACTCTGCACGATAAGCGAACGGCGAGTGAGGCGACCGCAAGCAGCCAGACTGCAGAATACGTCAAGCGCATTGATGATCTCGAGGTGCGCTTGCAAAGTATGGCCGCTGAGCGCGAGCGCAACAACACACGTCACGACGCAGAAGCTCCTCCGTATGAGGTCGGTCAGGACACCATAGACATTGAAGACCTGCAGAATCACATCACAGATCGCGACCGGCGCATCGGACATCTCCAAGCCAAAGTCACTCGTGACGCACAGTACATCAGCAATCTCAAGGCTGATTTCGCCGACTTGCAGCACTGGGTCACGAAGGAAGTCAGTGCGAACCGAAAAGCTGTGGCGATGGAGGCGCAGAAGTGGGCGGATCTTCAGGCTCAGGCGTTGAGCAAGTGGGCGGAGGAGCAGTGGCAGTTGATGGGCGAGTGGTGGGTGCAGAGAAGAGGGTTGGACGGGGCTGCGCGGAAGGAAAGTGGCGCGCAGTAGCCGACAGAGTCACAGGTGATGGTCAGGGCTGTGAGGCGAGACAGAAAGTGGGTTGGTTCGCTGTAGGAGACTGAAAGAGACAGATCATCGGCACTTTTCGTTGCTGGCAGACGTGCGCCACACGCTTTGCTCTGCTGCAGCAGTATAACGCCAGACATTTCCACAACGTCCGCTTCCCAACCATCTTCGGTAGTAAAACCCCTTGTCGAGGCGCCGTGACTCGAATGAAAGGAACAGGTCCGACCGATTCTCCTTTCGAGAATCGGTCTCTGGATACAGGCCTTGTCGCCGCCCAGGGGTTATTGCGGCCCATGATCTGCCGCCGCTTCTCTCCCTTGCGTCAATGTGAACGGGCGGCAATAGACGGCCTCTTTGGAGAGTGATAGACGGGAACGCCTTGCAAACTTTGCCGCCTTCTGGTCGCCGCCGCCGTCGCCGCCCGCATTATAGCAGAGGATACTTTTCTTTCTCGACATCAAGACATGACTGCGCATCATACCTCACTCAACATCCTGCGTTTGCTGCCATCATTGTGCGTGTGTCCGCTTCTTGCCTGGAAAAGTAAAGACTACCTGCTCGTCCTCGGAAAGCGCGCCGAGGGCTTGTGGAATGGGCTTTGCCTTTCCGGTGGAAGTTGGCTAGGCTTTTTCGCGCTCGTTCACACACACCCGCTCTCTCCCTCTTCACTCTACAGGGCCAGACCTACATCGATTACTTCCTCCGTGTGCGTGCTCAACCCAACCGCACGTCAAGCATACGCCAAATACCCAAAGGCTACCACCTTCCGATATATCACGACATCAGTAGGCGAGGATGGCTTTCGCTGTCAGATGCTCGCTGCACTCTACCACTGAGTGAGACGGAGACAAGACCATCGACGACTGTCCCTCTCCAGTCTACCAACAGCTCGGTGTCGCCAAAGCTGTTCTACTACAACAGACAGAGAGCAAATGACTATTGCCACTACCCAACCCATTCCTGTAGCCATTGTAGCATTGTAGGGTGGCGTGAGTCGTTCCCGATACTCCGCACGTATACACACCAGAAAGCTGATATACTGTGGCAGGATGCAGTATCACCTCTTTCCCCCGACGGTCTGCATCATTCCAAGACTGGCGCAGCGTTCGAATGTGAAGATCGCCACTATTTAGACGCAGTGCGCCTATCCGCGCGAAGTCGCATGAGCCCTGCTCTGGAATTGGATCACGCAAGCTCTTCCACCGTATTCGCTCGGTCCGGGTGCCTCTTTTCCCAGCATCACGACTTTTCAAGCCTGTCAGATGTGACAGTCGCTGTCAGGATGGACAAGACGTCAACGTGTCGGGCATGATATCGTGTCCGCTATTACGATGAGGTCTGGAGGGGGTGCAGATGAGAGTGTCCGCTATGACCGGATGGGTAGCATTTGGCAATACGTATCATTGAATAATTTCGACTATTGGGAAGTGGTGAGCTGACTGCTCGTCCGCTTAGCGGGAGATGGAGGTGTTATTGCCGGGGAGAGGTGTGAACTGATGGCGGTTCATCGTCGAGGGCGGAGTGGCTGCGGTGAAGGATTGGGCCGCTGGGGTGAGAGCATGATTGCAATGATGGGAGGTGGCAATGATGGCGCATTCGGACAGGCATGGTTGGAAAGCGGGCAGCCGCACGGAGCATTGGTCCCCTTCGGGCAGGAACGGATGCCATCGCTGAGGGGAGAAGCGGGCAGATGGTGATATTGCACGGTGAGCTTGACGGTGGTTCTTTGGCTACGAGTGGACTGGCTTCCTTAAAGGGTATACCGTTCGGGGCTCGCGACCTGAATGGTGGTGGCGATGTCTTGCTGCGCTAGGATCGCAACCTGGCAGCGAGGCAGCGCCACCAAAATCCCAATAGGCGCTTGCGCTGACCATAAGTTTGTGGATGCCGAAGTGAACCGCAGCAGCGGTTGTCAGTCATCTAGCTCGATTTGCAACCAGTATGGGCCAATGACCGTATGCAATGCACGCCGTATGATCAGGGTGTCCTCCTCATCCTTAGTCCAGCGATGCAATTACATGACTGGCTGATGAGAATGAACGTGATGCCGAAGGTGCCCGTTCTTGACCGACTTGCCGCGGGTAGGACATGCATGTATTCTTGGTTGCCGACTGCAGTCTGAGAGCTATCAACTGCGCTTCACCCTTGGGGCGGCAACACCTTCGCGTGGCAGCTTCTTCGTAGCCGCTATTGTTTCGGAGTCAGCATCAGTGAACGGAGCTGGTGCGGAGTTAGGCGGTAATTGCTGATGGGAGTGTGGATCGGCGCGCAGGTTGGAGGCTCCTGCGCCTTCATGTGCATGTCATACCGTTTCGTTGACTCCAACATAGGCCGATTCTTGCATCATTCGATGCCAGGTCATGTCGCATGCTTTACGTTGGTGACACGTTCCACGGGTTGCGTTTGTGGCGCACGACCGTCCTGCGTATACGGGAGCGGACGCCCAAATCATCGCGCAGGCAGGCAGTCTCGACATCATCAAGCAAATACACGCCATGAGATTCCGATCGAGCCAGCATTTGCACGGACTGGATAGCGAGAACGGTGCGGCGTTGATAAGATGCTACTGGACTTCGCTCGCTACGGCCACGAAAATCGTCTGATAAAGCGGAATATGGCGGCATATGCCGGCATATGGCGGCGGACGGGATGTTAGGTACGGATGATGCAGTGTGGAATGAGCGCCATTCTTCTGACCGCAATGACGACTGACGAATGCACTTGGTCAACTTATCAACTACTTGCTCGACCAGGCTAGAGCGTCACTTCGTCATCGACGCCACTCCTGTCGTTGCCTGTTCTGCATCAACTTGCGCCTGTCAACGATCGTCCGCTTCCAGCATCCCGATGGAGCGAAGCGACAGACGCAACGACGATTGAAGCAAAGCGTCGTAGGGAATATGATCTTGCGGATGGCGGACTGAGCTTCAGTTAAGCAAAGTCTGTCGTGGAGAGGCTGTCAGATGCGCTCAGTACCCGTTCATGGTCCATGGCATGGTGGGGGGCGGCTTTCTGTTGGCTGGATGGAGTAGGCTGGCTGATATTAGGAGCCAGCCGTGCAGTGGTAGCTGTCGGTAGAGATATCGGGCCTCTGGAAGTGTTCGCCAGCATTGGCTGGAAACTGCACGCTTAGCAATCGGAATGCTCGCTTGCCGCTTGCCGCACCACGAATGAGCATGAGCACGTCCTCACTAAGGCTCAGTTGAATATTGTCGATGCAGTGCCGCCGATACGCCGTCAGTGTGCTCGTGTTCTCTATGCTGCCGCCGTAACTGCGAGGTCTCTACCTCTCGACAGCGCGCATTATCGCGTAAGGGCGTACGAGCGCGCCTTGATGGACGAGCATGTGGGGTAGATGAGGTCTGACGGCCCGTACATGGAGGACGCTAATGGAGGCTGCTGGCTTCGTTATGACTGCGCCCCGGGAGGGTGGAGAACATGCATGCGGATTGGAGAGGTTGTGTAAGAGCCAGCAAATGCGAAGATGGACCGGAGATCATGCTTTCGGCGCGGAGATCCACACGTGGCTTCACGCTACCCCGCAACCTGGGGCGGAAACAGCGCTGCTACCGTTGGTCGGGAACGCCCGCGCCAAGGTTTGCTATCGTCAGTTCCACCTCGGTCGCCCAGCCCGACCATTCTTACGCTTCCCATTCGAATCATGTTCCTGCTGAGCTGCACACTGTTCATACCGAGACTGAGCTCCAGGGTATGAGCTCCGCGTAGCTCTTTCCACGACTGCGGTGGGAAAGGAGACGGTCGCCGCATATGTCAATGGCGCCTCTGGGCCCGGACGCCAATGGATACATGTGTGGTCAATCGCTGTGTCCTTCGTCCCTCCTGATTGTGTCGTAGGGACATCACTGGGCAAGCATCCGACGCCGGTAACAACGCCCGGGTGCTTTGCATAGGTTCAGCCGACTGGTGTCAATGCCCAAGTCTCACACGTGAGGATATGGCCCACCAATTCTTGCCTCTTCACGCGGATCAGAGGCGAGTAATCTTCGTTCTTGCCGGCTGCGCTGGTATATTGGCCGGCCCGTCCCATCCTCTCTTCTCTCCTCTCATCTCCACCGTTCTCTTGCGCAAGAGGCTACGTATCAACTGTTCAGCTTTCTCGCCAGCCACTTCCATTATTTCACCGCCCGTAGCAATCGCGCTGCTCCAGACTGCGTTGCTCATTGAGAACGGAACGCTCAAACTACATCTCTCTTAGCCAATCCAAGTACATCCTTCTGTATGCACAGCTTCCCTAACCCACCACTAAGCTCGCGTGCCGTCGCTTTCCAACACGAAGATCTCCCGACACAACGCTTAGAAGACCTCTCTAGGCACTGCGAGCATCGCCGAGGTCTCTCCTCAGAAACAGATCTAACAAAGGAGACTACCTTTGAACCACTGCAAGATCTTGATAGCTGCTTCGTAAATTACCTAAACCTTGCCGAACGTTGCCGCTCAGAGTTCCGGAAGCTAGCATACCTACATCTCTGGCGACCTTCGTCTCTAGTTGTACATCTCGGGCACTACGCTTTCACTTCCCGCGAGAATCAACGCCAGGTGGAGAAGATGGCACAGCTCGTAGGTGCCTTTGCGAACGCGCTGCTGGACTTGCTGTTGGCCGTACAGATAACGACCAAGGGCGTGTTTCGACCTCAGACTGCTACAGCCGCACTTCGTTTCTGACAAGCAAGACAAGGCAGTGGACATGACGCAAATACAGGCGATGGCTATAGTCATTCGCCTGGCAAACTGCTACGATCACTGGCACCGCCATTTGTTGACAACGAGTGCAACAATGTTCGACTACGCGGCAAGCGACGTTAGTGAGAGCACAGCGATCGAATCGGCGACGGCGTGGTCTCGAATGGCACTTATTCCCTCAGACCCAGTTCGGATGACGTTATTGGCACTACCGTGCTGCAGTCAGTGCCTAACTTGGCGCCAATTGCAGCTTGTCGTGGGATGCGGACAGCGGTATGCGGGCGCTTCCGCACCATGCACTCCACAACAGGTACCGGCGATTGGCTGTTCCCATGCACTTCTGCACTTCGCCCTCCGCGCTCGAAGGTACGCCTTCAGCAACTACTTCTTCTCATCAATTGAAGATAACACATGCGCGTAACTGCCGATCAGCGGCAACGGTCGCGGGAAGCATTGCGAGAGCGATCCGCTCAACACTACAAGCACGGAAACCTGCCCCAGACAAACAGAGAAGCCAGCTGCGAGCTCCCTCGTTGATAGGGAGCAACTCTCCGCGACTTCGTTCCCTTCTGACGTACCTGCTCGTACTCACTCTCTCCGCCTCGCCTGCACCAGCGCAGTCGCGATGCATGTGCCTCGACAGAAGCGCACGTCACCTGCGTCCTGGGCAGCAGTCGAGCATGCTGCCAGCTGGCAGGCCGCAAATATGCCCTTCTTACCAGTGACGAGAAAGGCAACACCTTCCTCGGCAATGGCGAGGTCCGTAACAATCCCTACGATGTGGCTGTCGGCAGTGAGAACGGCGGAGTCAGTGTGTATAGCAAGGACGACAGCTCGCCAGACCGCCGGTTTCCACATGATATGCTGGTCCTCAGCGTTTTGCAAGGCGATTTTAGCAGATCGCTTCCGACATGAAGGGCCTCCGCGACTGGTCCGAAGATATGCTCCGAAGTATGAAACACTTGCTGGAGCAGCTGAACCACAAGGAGAATGTACGTTCAACTTCGACAGTGGGCTTGTTCGGCAAGTGTGCGCCGGCACCGCGCCCCCCAAATCTCGGTTATGTATCTGGCTACTCAAGAAATGCTGCAGGATGGCAGAAGAGCGTCATCCACCAACAAACTTAGCAAGGCCTTCGCAAGACCTCGCACGCTTCTGCCTCCTCTTCCATAACCCGCTCCTAAGCCCTGTATAAGCTGCGAGACGTCCTTGTGGACATCTTTGAGGTCACTAACTATGTCGTGGGGGAGTAATGGCAGGCAATCTTTACCATCTCTTCGCTGCTGTTCGCCGCAAGCTCAAGCTTGAGCTATAGCACATAGACTAGGCGTTGCCGGCGCGTGATACTCCTTCTGCGAGAGAACAGGGCATGCGAGGAGATCGGGTTGATGGAGGACATGGTCGATCGCCGCCAGCAGATAATGGTTGGAAGAGCAAGTCTTTCGTCTTGGACAAGTGGACGAAACAACTAGTTTCGAGCGTGGCCCAACCTACTATAACCTACAACCGCGGCGGTCTTCTGGCGGCGAGACAGCAACGTAAGATCCGCAGAGGCTAGGCATGTGCAAGATTGAATCGAACGCGACAGGAACGAAGCCATACAGTGTCGACCTACTCTTACCGCTGTGCAAGAACCGACGATTACGTCTGGTAGTACTTTGAAGAAGACTGAAGCTGTTGATTATCCGGCTCGGAGTCTCAAGCTAATATCGATCATAGCTCTAGAGCGCAAGAGGTCAGCGCTGACACTCGAGTCAGGGAAGATCAGGCTTGGTATTCCATACTAGCCAAAGACTTCATGTGCTACATAGTAAATGGTATTTGACCTGTGATTTTAGCCTTCTCGAGCGTCACGAAGAGAATACACAAGTGCATTACCGGTCGCACGCTCAGGGTACTAGAGCCGTTGGGCTTCTTTTCAGACTATCGCGGTTACGGGACAAGAGAACGTGTCAAGCTGCCCACGATCTCACCTCATTATGGCTGCGATTCGTGCGTGCGCCCTTCACGAACGACTCCAAGACAGTTATGAGTAGTCTATTCGACAGCTCGGACGCATCTGGGAACGAGGCCAAGGTACACTAAGTGATCCCCACGCCCAATGAAGGTAGGTAGGGGCGGCGGCAGGGAACTCCTTGAGTTTCACATGCACATGCTGCAATACTGCAGATAGGTTGTGTTGTTTCAATGGAGTCTACAAAGCAGAAACAAGCAGTGTCGATTACTATCGATTGCGTTCGGCACGGCCACCGGGAGACGAGGCAGAAACTTTGCCCGTGGTTGGACCTGTACTCTAGCAGAAAGCAAGAAATGCTAATCTGCGGCTTTATCGAACAGAGGCATAAGCGTCCAAACAGATGCAGTATCAACAATCTAGAGTACGGCTTGAGTAGCCTAAAATCTCGCATGACCCAACGGCCAACAGCTAAAGCCTAGCTGGCAGACTCCTGCATCGCCCGCAACATTGTCAAGACTTGACTGGACAGGCACTTCATACGCGGCTCAAGGGTCAATGAGATGCTGATGACTGAACACAAGCGCGCGAAGGCGTGATCACGAGCAGCGACTTGATGGTGGGCATTACATCGACGCACATGTCTTTCAACAAGGCGGGACAGCCTTCGTTCACAATCCCACTACGGCTTCATACCGGCGGACGCTTCCTGCAAGCGATAACACCGCGGATCTCCTGCCGCGCTTCTCCAGAAGCTGTTACTACACCCACAGCGCCATGACACCACCTCCTCGAACTACTCCGCTTCGATGGTAGATGCGACTTGTCCTCGGGTCCTTCAATAAACACCACTACAGCGCCTTCGTCTTAGAGAGCATCGCAGATCCATTTGCGCTGTATTCCACTTCCGATAGCCATTCTGTTCCTTCGACTCTCTGCGCGTTCCTCATGTTCGCTTCGCATCCATCGGCTACCCTGATCGGCAAGCTTGGCACCATTGTTCATCATGGGTAAGGGCCGGTGGTGCAGCTAGCTGGTGCGGGTGGTGATGAAGGCTTCTCATCACCGGCAACCCGACAGTTTACAGCACTGACCCCGGCCAATGTCCTAAGCTTCGTTCAAATTATCGCTTTTCTGTGTATCAAGGTAGACGATCAGATCTCGCTACCGTTTTGACGCTGATGTCCACTCGACGCAGTGAGAGCTGTGTGGTACGATGATCCACTTTAATTAAGTGGTCAGTAGAGTTGCAGGCTGGGGCGCCAGTCAAGCTGAGCGTTGCTTGCAAGGGAGAGCGCTATCTGATGGGATGCGTTAAGTCATGATTAATGTTCCCACATCCAGCTCCCACCCTTTCGACCCACCCAATTTCTCAAGTTCTCTCCTCCCCACGAAAGTTAATCACAACGAGCCGCTGCTTCAGGTTGTCTGCGGTCTCTTCCACCGCAATGTCCAGACATCCATGCTCGGGCACGACCACCACTGACCTCGCCTTAACTCACTCACTCAAGTGATGTAGCTGGGATCGAAGGACATCGAGATTGCGATCACGGCGTCATGATAGAAAGAGAGAGGCGGTCAAGTCAAGGCTGTGACCAGATGCTGAGGCCCGCTTGTCCGGAGACGTCTTCGCGCTGCCGCCGCCATCGCACCGAGACCGTATGTTGAGCAGAGAGTGCCGGTTTCTTTGACCATATCTTTGGCAGGGACGATTCGCCTCGTATATGCGACATACCACACGACCTAGATTCATCTCGAAGTTTTGCACAATGCCCTCAAATGGCGATGCGGCTCAGCCATGAGAGTCTTAACGTGGCCGATGGGCCTTTCGCTGACTGAGAGGAGGAGGAGCAAGTCTACCTCCGGTACTCTTGCAGCATGCCGTCAAGAGGTCAAGGCCTTCAGACATGACTGGAAACGCGGTTTAAGGCCGATGATGATTACCGCGTGACCTGTATCGCAATAATGCTCGTACGACGCTGATGCTCGCCATGACGCAGTCTCAAAGCCTTTCAGATTAGGGATGGCTTCCGCCAGAAGGCAGGTACGCCCTACAGTGACGTTTGGGATCTAGCGCCCTTGTCTTAGTCCATACCACTGCCCTCATTCCCGCAAGTTTTCATGTTCTCCAACATACCCCTAGTTCTACACATGCTCAAGTGGTTCGCTCTCGCCTTGAGCCCGCCTGGCAACAGCGAGATGTTACCGTGTCGCTGTCTTCTGCCTTTGACGACTTGTTTGCAAGACGCGCCGAGGGCAGATCTGTATAACAGTTATTAGCAGTCAGCGTTGAGTGGAGATAGCAGGCGGCCATCCGAGAAGGTACCGATGCCGGTGCCATGGTGCATGATGGCGGGACAATGGAGCGAAGGCTGCAACGCTTAGGGTCTTGAACAGCTAGTACAGTGGCGCTGGGCCAAAGGCGATAGGCTAATGAAGATTAGAGTCAACATGTCGAGACGATGAAATCGCAGGAGATGCTCACCTAGGAGTGCAGTTCGAGTGCATGAAGTGACCTTGGCGCTCGTTCTGGGGCTCTTAGGAGAAGGCGCGGTCGCATTACGGTATTCGCCGGCGGGTGCCTCTTCCAGTGACAATACTAATGCCACTGCAGCCACGCATATGCTGGATACTTCGAATGCCAATTATGTGGCGAGCTGGGATTGCCTTACGAGCCATCAAGTGGAGTCATGCTGTGGCTATGTCGGCCTACAGCAGGCTTCTTCTGAAGGCGACCACGCACTGCTGCTCTGGTACGCCAAATTCGCCAGATTCGTTCGTTCGCCGGATGCAGATGGTGTCTCGTTAGATACTTCATCACTTTTGGCATGGACCTGATAATACCGTCGTTCATGTTGTTTGCTTCAGTGAAGGGTTCCTGTGCTGGTCGGGTGAGAACGTCGATGTCTCGTCAGCACTGTCGCAGCTCGGCAACTATATCCCATACCGGCCTACCAATCTGCTTCCTCCTTGAGATGTCTTGCACGACAAGGTGTTGTCGGTGCGATAGCACAGCACGGTGATTGGCCTCAGAGCACTTGCCGACGATACTGGGAGGTTCTGCGACTACGTTGTTATGGATATTGCATTGGAAGCGATCGCGCTAGCTTTGCGGTTGAACATGCGGCAAGCATTCCAGATTTCCAGAAATAGCCACTTGTGCGCGGAGCGCCCGCGCACAAGCATTGCTTTGGAGCCTCAGGCACCCACATATGCGCAGCACTTATAACGGCCAGAAGCGCGTAGCACTGCCGCAGACCAGTCCATCATATGAGCAGTTGCCTTGAGTCAAGACATGCTGTCGACGAGTAGCGGCTCGCCATTGAGCATCTTTTCATTGCAGCTGCAGAGCCAACGGAAACACCGTCGCGCTTTGAGCAGATGTGCGTCGGCCATCGGCGCACGGGTAAAGACACGGCGGTCCCTCCCGAGAGCTTGGGGAACCACAACAAAGCCAAACACGCCGCGAGCTGCTCAACGTGACAGCTCTTATTTTGCGTTCACATGCACAATACCTCGCTAAACCGACTGCGATTGGGTGCACTTCGTCGCAGCGCGCAACAACAATCAGGCACGCCGATTCATTGCCCCAAAGAGAGTGTAGCAATGTTGTCGTTTGACTTCGTTGCGAGACGGCGGGTTGGCGCCTTCCTCGTGAAAGGCTTTGCCATATGCTCCCTCCCACTTTCCTCATAGTGGAGCAACATCTTTCAGTTATAAGTGGCGGTCGAGCTCATATGGATAAATATCACCGATATACGTTGTGCAGTCCTTGTTTCCACCCGTAGGAGGGAGGGATGCATGAGGTATGCATACGTGATGGCGACAGAGGCAGTAATGGATACAGAGTCCGTACCTGATACGGTGAGGCGGGATGTCCGAAGCCTGACCGACGAACTCTTGCTCTGTACGAACCCTACCAAGCTGCTGCAGAGGTTCCGAGACTCTTGCCGCAGATCTCGCACGTCAAATGTCTCGTTCGCAAGTCTACTGTCCGAACAAGCGCGCGACCAGATTGACGACCTCGCCTGGAAGGCGATTGACGGCAGTAAGCATAGTCGCACCCGAGGGTTTCTTCGGCGTCTCTTGCGCATGGACGGCTGGAGCGTCCGACCAGATCGTCTAGTTAGCGAGTTAGGCCCTGAAAGTATCACCTCGAGACGCTACGTTGAAAGCCTGCTAGGTCTCGCGGAGCTCACCGAAGCGGATGCAGGAATCGAAGAGATCAAGAAACAGCGAGAACGGCGCCAAAGGCCCACTTCACCCGGTTCCAGAATACACGGAGCCAGCGCGACAGCGGATGCTTCGCCATCAGATGTCCAGCAAGCTATAAAGGCTAGAAAAGTCTCAGTCACTCAGCGTCCCAGAAGGTCTCGCATTACACGCATCGCTGTACATCCTCAGTCTCCCAATCGGCCAAGTCTAACAACCAACAGCGCCAGCACGTCAGGGATCGCATCGCCAGTCAGAGATACCGAACTGTCTGTGGATTCGACAGGGTTTTATAGCATGAGCCCAGAAGTTGGTCGCGCAGCCGGCCTCGAACTGACCCACGATATGAGAACTGACAGCTCCGACGACGATGGCGGTTACGTGCAATCGGACGCATCTTCTGTGCCGCAGTCCCAGCGTGCTACTCCACATAGAATTGTCTCGCACGCCACCGCTCAAGGTCCATCGAGATTGATGTCGTTCGCGGACTTCGACCGCTTGTCACGAGCATCTGTGCCGTCAGAGTTCCAATTTAGCTTGCATGTACAGGATGCCGACGTGCCTGACGCTGCTACACCGCAAGCTGTCATGGCTAATTTGGACTGTCGAGACGATCGACAGCATTCACGCCATGGACGGCTTGGTATCTTCGGTCCATGCGATCAACACTACGAAAGCCCTCCGCATGCTTCGATCATGCCAGTGGTTCTGGACTCCGAGCAGCAGACTTCGGACTTTCATCGCGCCAAGCGCCAACGCATCTCTGGACACGCAGAGCAATGCCCGACCCCACGGCCGTGTGATACCAACTCCAGCCGACCCATTTACAATGCTGCGCCTCCGCATGACAGGGCTAAAGCTTCTCATGAGGACTCAGCACTTATTACAATGGCTTTTGGTGAGACGTCTCAACTGGCGTACTTACGCTCTGCGCAACCTGTCGACGCACCATCTAGTACTGACGCACTCAATAGAACCTAATGACATGGATTTGGAACAATCAAACGACATTCTGGAGCACGACGGAGCGCCCGTCGAAAAGTCGAAGCCACATCCTGCGACTCACGCACAGCCAGCTACCGAAGGTGCGAATGCAGCGTCGCCAGCAAACAAAACGAAAGCCATGCCGCCATCGCCCGAGCTGCTGGTGGGAGCATTCGCGCAGCGACCTCCGAGATACGCTCACGGCATTATGACTGAAGACCTCGCAGATCCTATATCAACAACCGCACCTCGCCAGGTGATGAACCCGACAACACATCGGCAGACTGAAGACGATTTCTTAAGTCAGTGTCGGCCTGTCTCATTCGCTGGTACGCTGATGGCGACTACCATGGCATCAACGCCCCCTTTGGCCGCTCCTACGGCAGTCCCAACGATAAAGGTGCAATCGGGAGAACCAACGATACGTGGCACGGACGATGCGTTTCTGGAAGAATCGCAACGGTCGGCTGACTTCGACGCGATACACAGCAAGACTGTGGCACCAACGTGTACACTGGAGCAAGGGCGACCATACTTCGTCACGGAGAATGCGCCAACCACCAAGAGCTGGTCCACCCTTTCGCATGCTGGTGGCGTCATGAGGACTTCCCATACCACTGCGGAAGAAGTCCTTGCTTCGTTGGCCCGCTTCGATCCTGGCACTTGGCTCAATGACACCTTGATCCACGCAACGCTCGAGCTTTTCTGCACGCAGCCTACGCTCTATATCGTCAACTCGGCGTTCGTTAATCCTACCGATCTAATACAGCTTCGGGAGTTGAACCGGACTAGAACCCTTCGCGGCATCACGTCGTCCCATATAAAGATCGCCGTACCGCTCAACTTCCGCAATCAGCACTGGTTAATTGGCATACTTGATCGTGGTGAGCGCACCATCGACGTCTACGACCCCTTGCATTCGAGCAGTGCACATCGGCAAGCGTTAGAAGCTTGTCGCGAGGTGGCACAGCTGATCGACTGTCAGCTGGCGACCAATCACGACTCTGGCGAGCGACCAGATTGGAGCGATCCATATCAGCAGGTATGTTGCGGCCAGGCGTCGCTCGTTCTGCTGCTGAATGTCCCCTAGGTGCTTCTGACCCAGCCCAGCGACAATGGCAGCGACTGCGGTGTCTATGTGTTGATCTATGCCATTCATCGTCTTCACAATGTCTGCGTGCCCCATAGAGTGATCCCTGCGGTATGGAGGTCTGTGTTTAGAGCCGCATTGTCCAGCACGAGCAGCAAAGATGCACAGGCCAGAGCCTTCGCTGGACTAGATACATCGGAGGCGATGTGCCCTCAGCGTCGCAGCATTCGAGATCTTTCTCTTGCCAGCATCGACGATGCTTTATACTCATTGGGCAACGCTTGCCAGCGAATCAAAGCATACCAAGCGGAGTACCAAGCCATCGGGGCCTTGACAGAGAAGGCTTTGGCACAGCTCAAGCTGGCTGCTATGGAACATGCCTGGTGGCTTGAAATGGTCGAGAAAAGCAAGTCACTGCCTGTGACTTCTCAGCCAACCCCAACTGGACAAGAGGCGATCAAGCTTCTCCACGATGCTATTCAACTCCACTCCGTGGCGCTACGCGGAAGCGCACTTACCGAGCTGCCTCCTTTCACCAGCTGCAATCATAACCGCAAGGAAGCACTGGAGCACGTGCTGCAGACAGTGCAGCGTTGTGTCCATGACCTCAGTGCAAGGCTTAGCGACGCTGAGGAGCAGATTCAAAGCATACGCAGTGAGCTAGGACATGTGCAATACAAGAGCCGATAGAGCTACAACGGTCAAGGGCTGTAAGTCTAAATGCGCTCCCGTGCCCGTTTCGCTCAAGCTCAGCGACCCCAACTGTGGAAAGACGCACATGAGCTGTAACGGCTTTCGCAGCGATGGTTCCAGCAAACATCAGCCGCCCCCCACTGCAAGGCGTGGTCGACCTTCCACCGCTACATCAGCCGGCCGCCTTGTCAATCAGAGACGAAGCTCAGGGGCCAATGCACACCGAGTCGAATAGAGAACGAGCGTGAGCAAGTGCAGCCGGCGGCAAAGCAAGCAGGACAAGGTCACACCTCGAGAAAACGAAAGAGGAGGGCGGTAATGAGCAGGCCAACCAAGCATAGCACGCTCAATACGTGGGCATCGAGAAGGAGGTCGGTGACAACCAGGCGAATGTGGCAGCCAACCACGCAGGACAAGTCAACCTCCCCCATTCTGTTATGGCAATCGGCGTGTCAGCTTTGAAGGTGTTGTCATGGTGGCTATTAGCGTTGGCGTTGGCGTTGTTGTGTTAACAGGCGTACCGTGCTCAAGACGGCTACGCACGGGAGTCAGCGCGTGCGGAGACTAGGTCATAGTGTCTCCGGGAGTTGAAATCACCATGGCTATAGGATTGACCCTTGTTACCAAGCTTCCGAAGACCTCGTAGGAGACTGTAACAGCGCTTCCAAGATCATTAGATCGATTCTCGGCCTCCCGATCTGGCAGGAGGACTTCCACGATCACCGTGATGACCTTGAAGCGGGCGCTAAGCAGCCGAAGGAGAATGCAAATATGATGCAAACAACAATGCTAGCGCTGCCAATGCTGGCTGTCCGAAGTCTGCAAAGGTTGCAGTGCCGACGACAATCCGGAATTGTGCTACGTATGCGTCAAACCATGAAGAAGAGTGACCTGGTAAGCAGCGGCGCTACCGAGCCGCAAGCCTTTGGCCACCTTTGACATGGCAGCGGGCAGGGCAGCGACGAGATGACGGGAGGTTCACCCACTGAGGCACGATCACAGGCACTCAAGGCCGACTTCACCGGCATCTCATTTAGGCAGAGTAGTTTCGGGCGTCCATTCTTTCATGGTCAATACGGCCTCATCAGGGCTTCGAAGGGATGTGAAGTACCCATGGCTTTTGCTGCGCTGAGGATCACGCAACGGACTGGCCGATCACAAGGTGCCCTGAACCGACATATTGATCCAAGGGCAAATGACGCAGGCGAGCTCTTCGCGGCTGATGTGATTACACATCTACGTCCTGGCTTTGCACCTGCGGTATTCTAGCTATGCTCTACAGGTAGCAGCTCTCCAAAGTCCTGATGTTTCACTCACCGCGACGGTGCGATCGCCCTCCAACCTTGCCGAAGGTGCGGAAGCGGCCGTCTCACCACTCAGCAGTGCGCTCTCCCCATCCTGGCCACCTCCTCCCTCGCCTCGTCCAGAGTTCAAAGCGTTCGGGTTGGGGCTTAGCACAAGCATTGCTGAGAGCTGAGCAAGCGACTGTCTAGACCAGCACTGCGGATAGTGGAGCGCTTTCATGCGCTCTGCCTCCGCTAGACTTTGACCCATGCAGCAATGCCCTTCTCACCACACTACCTGCCTCGACGCCAGAGCAACTGCTCGGCGACTCGGATTGCACACTTTGGACTCTCGATGTTCCGGAGGACTGCCTTCTTTCGCCAGCCGCAGGGTGGTTTCGCCATCTGCTCGTGTACTGAGAGGAAGCTAGGCAGGACGCCCCTGCAAGAGACGGCCCCTGCACGTGGGCATTACCTTTATAGTCAGTCGCATTCGCGTGCTCCACAGGCCATTCGGAGAGATGACCGTCAAGTGAGTAGGCGCAGGCTCTTTACGAACAATGTTGAATGTAGCGACTTCGGCATCAGCATCAATCATTCCGGCCCTGCGAGACTGTAGCGCTTCGTCAGTCTGCCAGCGAATGTACTCCAAGATGCGGCAGCCATCGAGCGTAAAAGATGTAGAGGGTTTCGTGGTACTACTGGCAACCCAATGCGGCGTTTGCAAGCGGAGGAAGCTTGTCAAGGCGCCGAAGCTGTCAGACGGATAGTGGACTTTGCAAGCACTAATTCTTGAACCTTCCGCCGGATCTTGGGTTGGGCATACAACAGCGACCGTGTCGTGCTGTGGCTATCGCATGACGTGGAACACGGAATGTTCTCAGAAGGTGGAAGCTGATCGTTGCAATTCGATTGAACGCGTCCATTAGCTCTTTTAGCAGCTGCAGTAGACTACCGAGAGACTGTAGGGTCAGCAGGTCCTAACCTGCACATGGATGATTGCATAGCTCACATACTCATTACCATCTGTAGGCGGCGAGGCTAACATATTGCCCACCTTGGTGCAGTAAGGCGGAGGCACCAGCAACGAATTCGTGCACTTATCGTCCTCTACCGCGATCATGTGCTCACTGCTTGCTCTAATTCCCAGATTTAAGTATTGATAATGTTCAACAATGGATGTCAACAGTACGTCCTCCACCAGTGCGCCCCCATGAAGTGCAATGGAAGCTTGAGACGTTCGGCTGTAGTCTCTCGTTCACCACAACGCTTCAGGCACTCGGGTAGACCAACTAGAGATTATTCTGCTCTCTTTGACGACTTGCACGCTTATAATAGCCGCAGTCAAGTCTGCGGAGACTGTTACCCGACTTCTGCTACCGTGCAAAGTTGGGCTGCGGCGGTAGTAACGACATCGTTCTCCATCGCTTCTTCCTGCGATGGCTGTCTTCCAACGGTTCCAGCACAAGAATATCTTACAGACCTGTCGCCTACCCACTTTGGTACAGTGCTAAACTCATGAAGATCATGCCGAACGAGCATCGAGCATCGAGCATCGAGCATCGAGCTACGGGTGAGGCTCACTAGAAATGGCCCGAAAACGTTTCACAAGTTGAGCCTCTGTGTGATCCGCGGTGCCGAAGTTCTCGTCACTAGTCAGCCCCATGCGACACGCGCCGGACGTCGCAGAGATGCAGTACGCTGGACTATGATCTACCGCGCCGTCCTCTCCCGCGCAGCGCTCATCATATCCGGATTGCTCTTCGTCATTCAACATTGCCCATCGTCACCTTCTCGCCCTTCGTCAATGACTGGGATGCCACCCAAACCCTAGAGTCCTACGATGGAGGCGGCTTCCTGGCGTTGCTGTTGTTGTCGATGGACAGTCTTCCCCTTCGGGTTAGAGTTAGTGCACGTGGCAGCCGGCGCCGACCTTTCATGTGGGGAATGCTGGAACTTGAACGTTTAGCCCATCTCGGAACTCAAGACTTGGTTATTCAGCGGAGACCCAGTTGATGTAGGTGTAGCACACGTCAGCATTGTACTGCACACACATCTTGTGGTTGGCAGTCGAGTAGCAGCTGTAGGTTATCATTCTTGGAATGGGGTCCTGATCTTGTTGCCCAGCCTTTCCGACTGTGTGCATTCCAATGCACGTCTACGCGACCGGCGCAAACAGCGTCGGGACAAAGCACCGGCCATCCTTATCCCACTCTTCGTCATGGCCATGCTGTTGCGCATCGGCTCCATGGAAGGACTGAGCGATGCCTGTAGAAACGCGCTCGCAGGCAAGAGCCGCGAGGCGCGGAGGTAACACTGCTTATGTCCTAATATCAAGGGCGGAGTGTGCTGACGAAGCCGTGGAAGACCACACTCGGGACGATGATATCGACTCGCCACCACGCAACCTCAATACCGCGAGGAAGAACGAAGTCGCGCCAATTGATGGATCCTCCTCGAACCACGGAGCCGCTTCCGAGGGCGAATCCATTCTGTTGAACACGGGCCGTGCACAGTCTTGGCCTTTAGCATCACGCACGCCGAGCTACCGAGGGCGAGCATCTTCTTTGCCACGACCAGTTGCAGCCAGAAGCATTTCCAGCTCAACAAACTCACGATCATCAGGCTCACCCGCGCCACCAGACTCTGAACGCTCCGACTACTCTGAGCGCACCCACTACTTGGACGACTCTGATCGGTCGCACGCTGAGAATGGGGACCTTGCGCCGGACACGCCATCTCCTCTGTTTTCTGCATATGCGGCACTGCTTCTCTTGATCGTGGTATACGCCTTCACTTGCGCTTTTCCCGTCAGGGCCCGTAATACATCCGTTGCGCCACCATGTCACGTCATCGGCAACCCCAACTATGTTGCGTCTTGCGCTGGAATGGACGTGTCAATGAGCCTGCTGTCAGGTGTCGTGAGGAACGCCCCACAACTGCTGTCCGGATCCTTCTTTCAGACAGCGGATATAGGCATGCACAGCCTGTGCCCCAGCGGGAAGCTGACTGGTGATGCATTCTGTGAATGGATCTATTCGGATGAGGTCCAGGCAGCCAGGCTGGAGCTGGAACTTGCGTACCGCAAGCTACACGGGAGGACGGTTTTGGAGAAGGAGATACTCTTTCGCGACTCCTCCGTGTTGAAGTCAGTGTCGAGAATAAGTAACCGAAGACATTGGGTCCAGCAAGCTGTCGACCAGAAGGCACCACGCCTAGTCCGCCAACTGTATAGTATCTTCGGCTTGAGCCTGTCGCTGCAGCGTATGCAGAACAACTTATCGGCAGCCTGGTACGCCGTGCTGCAGGACATTCGTTCCGAGCTCAGCCTCATGAAAACGCTTGCCTGGGACATTCGTCATCACGCCATTAGATGCCGGACGGCTGCAAACACGCTCCTGACGCTTTCAGCAGCCCGTACTGGGCTACGCGACACCACTGTCGATCCCAAGATGAACACCGTTCTGAAATACGTCTCGCATGCCTCTCAGGAGGCGCATATGGTACAAGGGGCGACTTACGCCTTTGGTGCCTCCCTTGAGGCCCTCGAGGCCATCTTGGACTGTTTCGAGCGCGAGTTACGTCGCTCTGCGCCCACGAACGAAAGCGACGATATGCCATGGAATGCTACGACTGCGTTCATTGCCCTTAGCGATTACGCATTCGCGAAGTTAGTACCAGATCTGTTCCCAAGACTTCAAGCCAACGTCTTTCGGCTGTCGATCAAGCAATGGGCGCTCGAGGAATGGGGTCACTGCTTGCCATTACAGTCGAAGATACCATTAACTCCTGCGGAGGTTACCACTGGCCCCGCCCTCGACGGTGGGCTTGGCTGTCCGACCTGCCCTTCTCGCTTCCTTCGCAAATGGTACTCCGCCTTGCCTAACGCTTGGCACCCGCTACGAGACGAAATGCTTCACCACGATGTCCCGGTCTGGCCTGGTTTGTTCTTCGCCAGGCGGTTCGTATGGCAGTCGGTTTATGTACCTGGCGGCCCACCCAAGATGACGAAGGTGCCAACGACAGCCGAGGAATGGTCGATGCACATCAGGGCGCCAGTCTGCTTCGATCTTACCAAAGCTGTAGATCCCAACAACGGAGAGCAGGATTTAGCGGATGCAGTTGTTGGCCGGGAATGCGGAGCAGTCGGTGGTGTCGCACTCGACCAATGGTTCCGCAACGCAGGTTACGAGCGTAGAAAGTCTAGCGCTGCAGACTCTTATAACGGCAGTGACTCTAGTGGAGTCTTCGTTCTATACATATGAGAAGTATGATGTACTATGCAGGCCTATGGTTAGCTTACATAGAGTATCACAGCGGGAGAACAACGCTTGCGCCGTGGTTTCAGAGTATCCTCTTTTGGCCGGCCAAATATATTCTTATTGCAAATGGTGTTGTTTCACACCAGCGCCTTTGTCATTCAGTAGCACATTGTCCCCAGAAGAGATGCATGTCGGCGAGCAAAGGATAGCTGCCGCAGCATTACGGCGACATGCATGTATGATGCCTGCAAGCCGTGGCCAGGCAACGCCACGTCGCCAACAGCAGCACCACCCGCACGGCAACCTCGCCCATCGCTGCCCAAGCCGCCATGGAGGACAGTGACAGCATCCAGACGACAGACGCAGAGGCGATTCTCCAGCGTCGCCAGCGCATCCTCGCCGAAATGTCACGCGAAACACAGCTGACGGCTGAACTTGTCGACAACGAGCGCATAGTGTGGGAGCGTGACCACAGCGAGCAGCTGGCGCAGCTGGCGCAGCGCAGACGCTCGGTTGCAGCGCGCAAGCAGAGTCTCGAGCGGCACGAGTGGGAGGTGCAGCAACGCGAGCAAGAGCTGGAGCGCCTCGGCCGCGTGCTGTCGGTGCGCCAGGAACGCCTGCGCAGGGAAGAAAGCCAAGCCAGGCTCGCTACGGAGACGACTCGTGGGCGGGAGGCGGAGTGGGAGATGGCGGTCAGGCAACAGGAGCAACTTCTGGAGCGACGTGAGGCCGACTTGCGGCAGAAGCTGCAGGATTTGCAGGCCTGGTACGCGCAGCGCGACGCCGAGCTGCGGGATCGAGAGAGCGTTCTTGAAGCTGGTCGAGCTGTGCTACGGGCACAAGAGAGCGTCCGGTCTGAAGCAGTCGATGGCGTGGACCGGAGAAACTCCTGCATCTCCGCTGCCACCGACGTCTCCTTCCCCAACAACACGTTGAATCTTGCCGATGAGCTAGCGTTGCATGCACCAGCGGCCTCTCCGCCGCCATCTCCTGATACCTGCGCGTCTCGCGTTGGCATCGAGACTCAGCTGCAGAAGGAATGCGAGCGGCTGCACGAATACCATGCCGAGCTCGAAGCCTGGTCGCGGACCGCGGCGGAGCGAAACCATCAGTGGGTCAAGACTGTTCAGCAAGAAGCGGACAGATGGCAGGCAATGGTATTAGCGTGCTACAACGTATGGGCCGAGGAGGTACGCGCAAACGTAGCGCACGTCGTTTCACAGGAACATTAACGTGATGACCATTGTATTACATCTCTCGACGACCCTCCGGCCTCCGGCCTCCGACTGTCCCAAAGCAAGTTGCTGAAGATTTACGCGCGCACTTGCGAGTACTAGACTATGATCCTCTCCTAGGTCCATTCCGGCGTCATCACATTCACATCCACCGCACTCTTGAATACGCCATCGCCGACCGGGGTGGCGGGTGGCCAGATCTGATGCTTGGGAGTCTGTGGCTCCTCCGTGTGCAGAGTCAGAGACGTCGTATCGCTGCCGCTGTCCGTTGCGATGGCCGAGCAATCGTCGCCCGAGGTGGGTGTGATGTAATCCAGACACCAGGCGTCGAGCTCCTTGGCCTGATTCTGAGTGTCCGCATCTAAGTACTGGTTGGCCGCATCAAAGTGCTGGTTGGCCACAACGTCGATGTGCTCGCAACCGAAGGCAGTGTCGCCGGCGCTGTCGCTGTCTGCGACAGAAGTGCCACAGCTGCCAATGTCGAAGACGTTGTGAGCAATGCCGAAGGTCGTAGCAAGATCAGGCGTCGTGGTAGCAATGACAGGTGCAAAGTGCGAGCGGAGCATGGCAGTGAACTGCAAGGATGGTGGATCAGTCGTGCATTCCACCAAGACGAGTAAAAGAGGCTGCTCGCGTACCCGAGCATCCTTCCACAGGTCCGTCTCACGGTGCATCTGCCAGCTGAAGTCACTGTGCTCGATCAGGTAGGTCGAATTGTCGAGGTTGTCGTCATCGACCGCCACCCATACAACGTGGCTCATGGCTGCCATGTTTGGATCGTGGCACTCGGGAGGAAGCAGTGGATGTCAGAGAAGGAGAAGAGGTAGCAAGGGTGTGGCATTGGGTACTGGCAACGAGTGCCTGTACATTTCACCATTCCATACTTCACTGCAAGCAACATGAAGCTAGAGCAGCGTGGGATTAGTGGTTCAGCGAGGGTGAGCGGCAGTCCTTTGATGTACGAGCGGAGGTGTGAGGCGTGCCGGAGCGCTTACATTTCGTCGAGACAAGTCGGCCAGGAATAGGCAGTGTGTGAGTCCAATCCGTGCTACCGCCCACTTCCCTACGGGGGCGGTATTGATGAGAACACATGTATCAGAGGTTGGAAGCAAAAACATGGCGAAGAGAAATGGCGCCTGGCAGCGGAGAGGGCAAAGGGAAGAAGTACTGCGAGGTGCATCTGACGATGCGAGGTGACTTGAACGGCGAGATGCGATCGATACAGCAGAAGCTAATGCACCCTCAACGTTGCAGACACATGCAGTGGTCCAACGTGTCATCAGCGGTCTGACTGAACCGTTACCGCTGGAAGCGGCTAGCTGCCGTGATGATATTTCATCCAACTTCTATTCTAGCACGCTACCTCTACTACATCTAACCAGCTTGGTGGAACAGCTGTCAAATCGCTGGAGTGCAGCGGTTTGACGCCCCTTGCTGCCGATGCGCCACGCGTGCAGCGGCAGCGGCGGCGGCGGCCCGGCTGCAACTCTTCGACCCAGACTGCCGGAACGCTGCAAAGCACACATGCTGCTTTGAGGGCAACATGAGACGATTGAAAGTGCGCTCGCTCGATCGGCTGTCTCGTAGATATTTGCGCAAGGGGTACCGCTGTTCCTACATCATGGCCATGTTGGCCATGAACACACGGCTGGAGATCTGCCTTTTCAGCATTCACAGCATTCACACGCACACGCACACGCACACGCCTTTCTCCACCGCACCGCATCATGTCATTCGAGCAAGTCAGGTTGATTGGCACCGCCTCGTGTGATCCCCGCACAAGCGTGTGGACTTTGCAGTACACCGACGGCTCGTCGCAGATGTGGGCTGAGCAGGATCTGGTGCGAGGGATTGACGACTGCATGGTACGTGCCGATGCTTGGCTTTACTACATAGATGCACCCCGCAACCTGCCGATAACGTACACAGTAGCATGACGTGACGCTGATTGGTCGTCGTTCCGCAGTTCCGCGCCTATATCCGCGGTTGCTACATGGACGTACTGCACGCTTCCACCCACCTCCAGCCCTCCCCTCCATCTTCGACGACCTCACTCTCCCTCTCACCAACATCAGAATCCACCTCTGCCACCGCCACCGCCACCGCTACCGCCACCGACACCAACATATACACTGCAGCTTCTGATCCAACAACGACTCCCGCCGTCTACCTACCCCAACTGCGCCTCGCTTCCCCGTTCACAACACCACCACTTCGCTCATCGCCCCCAACAACACCAACGCCTGCTAACCTCCGTCTGCGTAACCCAAAACCCTGCACCGGATGCCGCCGCGCCAAGAAGGCGTGCGTTTCCAGCCACGGCGATCGCGCGAGCTGTGATCGTTGCGCCAAGTCCAGTCGCTTTTGCCTTCGGGCGGCACGCCGAGCGAAACGACCACGCGCTGCAGTAATGTGAAGGAACGGGCTTTTCCGCGTAATCCTGATGGAGATGGGAGAGGTGAAAGTGTGGGAGATGTAGAATATGCGTGCAATGTGTGAGATATGCGAGATGTAGGACGTGCGTGCGATGTAGGACATGCGTGAGACGAGGGGAATGCGCGAGATGTAGGAATGCATGTGAGGTGGGAAATGCATGTGAGGTGGGAAATGCATGTGAGGTGGGAAATGCATGTGAGGTGGGAAATGCATGTGAGGTGGGAAATGCATATGAGGTGGGAAATGCATGTGAGGTGGGAAATGTGGAAAATATGGGAAAATGTGGGAGATGTGGGAAATGTGGGACATGTGGGACATGTGGGAAATGCATGAGGTATTGAGAAATGCGTGTGGTGTGGGCAATGTGGGAAATGTGGGAGATGTGGGAGGTGTAGGAGAGGCCCACTGTAACATTGTCCTGTACATATCATGTGGACTGCTTTCTCCATGGACGGCGTGTGCGCGTCTATTGCTTCAGAGTTTATGTCTTACAGCCAAATCCAGACCTTCAACCAACCGATCTACGCATTGCGACCCAAATGTGCCGCCTGTCACGTGGCATTGGACCGCAGCGGCAGCGGCAGCACACTCTCTAACCGCACAGCACCTCCGGACTGCGACATCTTTAACCCTAACCCATCTTACACAACCGCCTCCATATGGTTCAGGATGTCCAACAGTCTGCCTGGGCAAGTGGTCTACGGAGAGGGAGATTGGCTTCCAAGAGCAAACGGAACGACAGGTCATGGCCTCTCGCTACCGGCAGGCTGAGACTAAACTCAAGAACTTCTTCAGGAGACGCACCGTCCAATCGCTCACACCACACCAGTTGAATACGCTGTGGGACAGCCTGCATGACCTGAATCCGGATGCATGGCCCTGCTACCATCCCGGTGATGCGACGACGCTGAAGGCAGAGTCGAACTCCAAGCGCCTGCTCATTGCGTGGGTGAGGAAGAACATTGCCGGAGCGGAGGAGGTGGGCGTGAAGCTGCAGGCGAAGATACTGCTGGAAGCGGCGGAGGAGCTGCGGCAGGTACAGGCTGCGAACGACACTTTGCAAGATGATGAGCATGACGATGATGGTACTGCTGGATCCATGGAGGATGACAGCAGTTTCGTCCGCGTAGACAAAATGCAGCTTTGCGATGCGCATCATGGCGAGGAGGCGACGGTGGAGAAGGAGATAAGCGGCAAGGGTGCAGTTCGCAGGTCAAGCGTATCAAGTCAGAGTCTATCCGCGGGTGACGGTCGGCGCCGGGAGAAGACGAAGCACTCATCCGCGCGGCACCAGCAAGTGGAGGTGGAAGTGGACGTCGAAGCGAAGGCAAAGGAGATTGAGCAGATGCGCCGCCGCATACTCGACCTCCTTCAAAGGGCATCCGAACCACAACAGCAAAAACTCAGCCCGGAAACCACTGCTTTCAAGCATGAGTCGGAGGCCGAGGATGAGGGCAACGACGTTACCGTCACGGGACAGCATGCGGCGGCAGCGTGTAAGGCAGAGGATGATGTGAAGCAGGAAGAGAAGGGCTTGACAGGAGATGTACCTGTCGTCGCTCGCCCATCGTCCGCGATGGCCTCCCTGCTGTCATTACCACCAACAATACCGCCGGCCGCCTGCGAAATCACCTTGCCGTCATTACCACCAACAAAACCTGCTACCCACGAGCCCTCCTCGCCGTCAATACCACCAACAACACCGCCTGTCACCAGTGAACCCTCCCATATGCCGAATCCAGCAACACCACAACCCAGCCACGCTGCAAACAGTACTGCCATCGTGCCGCAGTCCCTCCGGCAAATCGTCCTTCCCCACGAAGAGGTGCTCGGGTTGGATGCCGCGCTCGTGCCGATCTTCAACGCCGCAGCAAAAGCATTCATGGAGGTGCATCCCTCACCCGCTTCCTCCCCACCCTCCCCAATCCACTCTCACCCTCTCATCCCGACACTCGCCCACCTGGCACACGCTCGCGGCCTGTTACTCCAGGCTGCCGCATCGACCACCACAGGCCCGGCACATACATCTCCCCTACTTCCCGGCCCCCATCAACACTACCACCACCGCCGACCGTTGATGGATCTTTTCTTGCCCTTGCAGTCGGCGCTAGATGCGCTGCGCGGTGGTCTCAATGCGGGTGGTAACCACAGTCTGGAGGAGACGGGCGAGTGGCTGCAACGTGCGACCGACGTTGTCATCGGCGAGATTGCGTGGGCGGCGCGGCAGGAGGGGGAGGAGGAGGAGGTGGCCGCGTCTCGTGAGTACGACCCGAGTGTGCCGGGCGCAGCGGGGAAGGCGGAGGAAGCAGTAGACGAGGGGCAAGGGAGTGCTGCGCAGGTGGAGTGAAGGTAAGAGTACCGGGAAAAGTCATGGTGGCCATCATGGACCTCATCGTGGATGAAGCAAAGGGATGGTTTGTCGGAGGGAGTTCGTCATCCTGCAATCCGCATTGCCTTTTTTCCTGATGGCTTCAGCGTATTCAGAACATCCACCAGTCCGTACTCCACTTGCACCCTAACGCCCATCACTGCTTGGACGCAAAGTCTTGAAATGATGGAGGTTGCGCCTGCGCAGATGTGTGGGTATGGCAGCCCCATGCACCGCATCGTCATCTCTGCCTTGTGGGTCGGCTTCACGATCGAGTACTCGGGGCTCGCACAATGGCGCCGTCCATCCAGCCGTCGCCTACGATCGGTCGGGCCATCGCGGTCGAGAACATGAACACCAGGTAGGAAGCTCATCACCATCGTGTCTGTGAGAACTCGCTCGACGTCGGATCTCCCTCTCTTTGCCACCCGAGCTCTTGTAGCTCAAAGAGCAAGGACCTGAGCACAAGTTATATCCATGAACTCTCGTGGAAGGAGCGCCATTACATCAATGTTCTTCATCTTCGCGAGCTGATATAGTGATCATGCGGTGGTGGCGATCCAGCTCGCAGCCATTTGCAGCATCGGATGCTCGTAATACTAGGTTTTCGTCGCACTGAACGACGTATGAGGCCTGCATCATGACTCAGGTCAAGAACGTGCACGATGAGATGTCCTGAGGGAGACTGAGAGTGGGAATGACACCATGAGCGGAACGGGAGAGGGAGAGGTAAAGTGAGACGCAGACGGAGAATAAGAGTAAGAGGTAGAGGGAGAGGGAGAGCGAGACGGAGAGCGAGACGGAGAATAAGTAGTACAGTAAGAGCGAGAGTGAGAGTGCGAGGGTGAGTAAGAGGGAGAGTGAGAGTGAGAGTACGAGGGTAAGTAAGAGGGAGAGGGAGAGGGAGAGGGAG